TTATATTGGCTTCTCTTAAGCTGCCACAGAGTCATTAACATAGAGAGAAACCTCTCTAATCTGGAACCTGTTCATCTGGACATCCTGTCTTTAGAGATTTTATTGTTGGGGACGCACATCAATGCATAGTTATAATACTCAGTAACCATGGAAACTATGATCTATCAATCCTGAAATTTGGAAACTAATCATCTGGACATCCTACCTTTATATATGTCTATTGTTGGGAACGGACATAAATGCAAATTTATAATACTCTGTAACCATGGAAACTATGATCTATCAATCCTGAAATCTGTGAAAGAATATTAACAAGTGAAGCTACCTTCCAGATTAATCGGTTTCACTGTCTATATGGCACTTCACTGGTTCAGAGAGAGAGTGGTTAGGTGTTATTGTCAAGTCAGTGAGTGCAGGCCTACCAAAGAAAACTTTGCCACTGTGCAGAAAAACGCAGAAAAGCCCACATTAATCATGGAAATAGCAACATAAACATATTACCTTGCTACTGAAATAGTAAAAACGGCAACTTTAAATCGCTAAAACTGCATAAAAAAACGAAGAGCCTGCAACTTCGATTTTGCGCATGCGCACATGGAAGAGGAAGTCTCGACCGCATGTTGACATTTTCCAGCTTGGACAAAAGTTACCTTCCTTTTTAAGTATTTCTGTTGTGTTGTTTGGCATTTATCATCATGATACTTGTGTGCACACTTGTTTCGTTTACTTTCCATTCGTATGAAATGATTGACAGCAATTATTTCGACATATTTAATACTTTATCTACGCGAGGCGATTCACGGTTGCTTGGAAATTGGAATGAAGCGTGGATCGTAATGCGCATGCGCAGTAGAGGTCAAAGTTCGCTGATGTAAAAATGTTGCAGTTTCATAGTTTTCGTTGCCGTTTTTACTGTTTCAGAAGCGAGGTATTATGCTTATGTTGCTATTTCCACAATTAATGTGGGCTTTTGTGCGTTTTTCTGCACAGTGGGAAAGTTTTCTTTGGTAGGCCTGGAGTGAGAGTGGGCAATCGTACAAACCTCTGCTACAAAACCAGGCAGCCCTGCTAAATAAACGGGGCCTGACTTCTCATGCTAAAGGGGTTTATTAGATTAAAAGTGGCCAGGTCCATGCATAACAGTGGTCTCTTAAAGTAACTCAAGATATACTGAGGGAAACAAATAAGGGAACACCACTTCATGGCAGTGTTCCTCTATTTATTCTCAGATTTCATCCCACAGCCCTATTCAAAGCTGGTGATGAAAACTGGAAAATATTAAAGGAACGCTTGAGTTTTCCTGTGTTCCTTTATTTATTTCTCTCAGCATATTTAAAAAAAATGTAGACTATATTTTCTCTGAGTTTATCAACACTGAAACTATAGAAATCTACATTGCTGGTGTTGTAGACTTGCTCGAGTTGGCATGATTCTTTAAAAGGTCTGTGTGAGAGGCTTCGGACCTTTATCCACAATCATGAAAGAGAGTTTAACGGTACTTATAGAGATCTTTTGACCTCTCTTTGATTCCCATGCCACATATTATTAACGCAGTACATTTATTTGTTTTCTTTCATATCTACATTTTAACCATTAATGACTAACTGTATAAATTGTACCACAACTTACATCAAGGGAAGAGTGTAAAATGAGTTTTTACCCCTCTTTTAACAATATTCCTGCAACATCACAGTTGGGAACACCAGAAATGGGCTTCACGCATTGTAGCCAAGAAAGAAAAATGGACGTCAATGTGTGAGTGAATTTAGTGAACCAGATGCAGCACACACAAAACGTCATTGATTAGTCGCAGTTCAACTGTTACAGCAGCTTGCTTTCTTGGAGCAGAAATACTGAAAAACAGTCATCACCATTTGTAGATTTATAGAGTTGTGTTGCCTTTGCCAAATGGGTTCAAATAGTTTTTGACAGTTTGATAGTTCTGGATCAAACTGCAGCCATCAATAAGACTGTGCACGCCATTATGTCCATATTCCGTTATCACCTTTTGTGTGACAGCACAAGGTTAGAACAAGTAGGCAAATAGTGTCTGACAAATAATGTCCAACTGGAGCGCTTTCGGATCCAGAACCAGGCTTACATAAATTGGTACAGTCATCCCTCGCCATAAGGCGGGCCTTTGGGGCAATGGATGACACCCCCAACATTATGAGACATGTGCATTATACTATACACGGAATAGAGGCAAAGTAAAATAATGTTTTTCATGGACATAGCAGAACTGCTATGTAGGATTAGCCACGCTGCAATTAGATCAATATGGAGATTGTCTCACAACTTCCCAAGTTTAATCCGAAAGACGTCTTGCATGAGAGTCCATTCTGTGGACACAATTTTGTCCTTCTGGGAATCACTGCTTGCATGTTAAAAGTCATTGTAAACACATTTCCATCATCAGGATAGGGGACTAGGTTTCCCCTTGTTCGTGAATGTAACCTTCAATTGTTGTATTCTCCATTGCTATCAAATCTGAAGAACGGTGTTGAACATCCTTCCAATTCAGAAGTGTGTAACAAATTATCAGCATTTCCCGGCAAGTGATGAAACAAATTTTCTTCTCCAAGGTCCATAATCCCTGTATTTGGGGATCATAGATATTAGCTTGAGTTTGAGGCATCAGTAAAGAGATGGTGATCTGGTGGTGGATAACTGGGGGGAATTCCCCGACATCACACAAGTTACATATTGGTGTAACAAATCTGGGATTATCAAAGTGTGCAAAAGTCGATCATGTTCTGAGTTTATCCATTTTTGTAGTGGTCTTGACTGCAGTCTGCCCTAATCAGTCATATCTTGGAGGGGGATGCACCTTCCCAGTAGAGACTTCATTCATCCTAGATACCAAGTTTCACTGCTGATGTTCAGAAATTCCAAGTTTTACCATTTGGCATATCAATGGCCCATGTGGGCATATTGCTAAAAGCAGCGTAAAACTAAACAAACTCACTCACTCTCTGACAAAAAGTTGAGCGAAGTTTTCTGACAGATTCCATCTAAAACCTTTTAAGAGGAATTAAGAATTGCTTGTTGAGAACTTTAGAGAGATACTGGGGAATAAAGCTCCGGTTTGGTATGTGATTGTGGAAGTTCTTGGGGGGCATCCTTGTCCTGTAAATTCTCAGAACACAAAGATTGTAACAATGGCTGAGTTCATGTAGAATCCACTGATCGGCTGTAATAATCTATCAGTTGTCTGTGATATAATCTCCCCAAAGTTATCATCAGATATGGCAGGTGCTGTATTTGGTTGTGACAAAACTAATCTCTTCATCTGAACAGACAGTGAAAGTTATATAATTTGAGATAGCAGTTGTTGTCTGACCCAGATAAACTGGGAGGAAATCCAAACTTGAATATATACTACCTACAAAAAATTTAGGCTCACTTAAAGCATGTTATGTATATATATATATGGTTACATCGATGATGAATTTCTTGACTTGAGGGATCAAATGCAAATCTCATGCTGATGAATTGCACGAGGATCATGCATTAAATTGCTGGAAAGCAAATATCGTGCATGTGAACATCTGCGTTTTGGTGTAAGTTTTGTTAAGAATTCGCCAATTTTCACTGATTTTTATCATTTATTGAACTCATGACAATAATCTTTTCAACTTTACAAATTTGTTTTACAATACATCAGTTCATGTGTAAACAGTATCTTTAACCAGTATGGAATATTTGGCAAAATCTAGTTCAGAACAGTTGACTGAAGTAAGTGGCTACATATACACTAGTGAACCTTTGATGGGTAGTATATAACAACTCTCCTTCAAACGTACAGTCATGCCAAGGTTACCAGGGATACTCCTACTTAGTTCCCTCACATAAAAAGGTGTACCGTGCACAACATAATCACATAAAACAAGAGGTATCGCTGGGACGTACACCAGACCAAAAACATTAATATATTTAGCAGAGTTACCCCAAGGATGGAAGTGAGGATTTCACTGGGGTGTTCTAATGATCCTGCAAGAACATCTAGTTGCATATAGCTGACACGTGGAGGACCTCAGTTAACCTCTAGGCCCACTTGCACAGAACAATCTTAGTTACAGTCAATCTTAGGCCCTTAAATCAAGTTTACAATCAACATGCAATTACCCTACTCCACTTGCACAAATTGATATTAGTGTGAGTGTAAGACGGCTTGGAATTAAAATCGTAGTCTTAGCTATTCGTATTAATAAGAAAAATATTATTGAGGGTTCTAAATTGACTTTCAGGTCCCCATGGACCCCATCAATAAATGTTATGGGTCCTTTCTGGTAACATGAGGGTCCTGTAAAGTATTAAAACGGTGTAGTGTATGCTGAGATAATTACATCACAGATATGATCAGTGGTCATGTGGACTGTGGCCATGACAGATGGGTGAAATTACAGATACACATAACTACCCCTGATGCATGATAGGTATTTTTTGTGCATCTCTTCGGACGCAGTATTTTTGGGATTGAAATTACAGACACTGATAACTACCCCTGATGCATGGTAGGTATTTTTGTGCATCTCTTCGGACACAGTATTTTTGGGATTGAAATTACAGACATACATAACTACCATTGATGCATGGTAGGTTTTTTTGTGCGATTCTCTTCTGACGCAGTATTTTAGGGATTGAAATTAGAGACACGGATAACTACCCCTGATGCATGGTAGGCTTTTTTGTGCCTCTCTTCGGACACAGTATATTTGGGATTGAAATTACAGACATACATAACTACCCCTGATGCATGGTAGGCTTTTTTGTGCGATTCTCTTCTGACACAGTATTTTTGGGATTGAAATTACAGACATACATAACTACCATTGGTGCATGGTAGGTTTTTTTGTGCATCTCTTCGGATGCAGTATTTTGGGGAATCTGTGTCCATTCTTCACATTTGTGCCTTGTGTAGAACCCTGAATGTCACAAACCATGTACATACAACATGCATTATAAATCAAGTTATATCAACACAAAGTAATACTTACAGGTGTACAACTGTTTTGATCTGATGTTACGATATGTTAACCCAACTGCATGCAGCTTGAAAGCACATTGTGTTCGGCTGAAAAATAAAACAATCTGTTTTCACGCCACAGATTAGGGAACACTGAAACAGCTTGATGTCAAAACATCTCTGAGTGAGTGAGTCATTCAGAAGGGTTTAACGTCAATTTGCATTATACCAGTTATAGCATGGTGTGGAGGAAATTGTCATGGGATACGTATGTGATACGAAAGAAACATTTCTAGGGTGTTGGGGCGAAACGGTGCCCTCTTACCACAGTACAGTGTACAAGGCCTTTGGTTTGGTCCGTTTCGGGTCGGTATATGAGAACTTACTTTCGGGGATAAAGCGGCCTTTTAGCAAAGAAATGCTTAGATTTTTACAAAATGATTCGATTTCTAGACATTTTAGAAAAGGTTCAAAAAGGTTAATAAAATGACGGTACAAAAAACGAAAAATACTGAATTTTGGATTGCATTACAGTATCCCAAATTGAAGGCAAATTACTGTGGTTCTACTAATACTGTGGTGTACCGTTTCACCCCTACTAGGGTATAGGTAAAATAGGCAACATAACCATAGAACTGGGATTTCAACTAATAATCAGAGGATTCTGGGGCATCCAAGGGAGGCAACTATGCAAAGTAACACAGATGACTGGGTTGAGTGCACTCCCTGTTTGTACCCCTGTTAAGTAACAATATTTAAAATATGTTGATCAAGTGCAGATAACAGGTTGGAAGACCAAAGAAAACGTATCCTAAATATGTCGCAATGGACATTTTCTAGCAGGAACTGTTTAAATCCCTGTGGTTGCTTTATAATCAGTTTTACTCTAGTCATAACACCAAAATCCAATATTTAAGTTATCTTGTTTCAAAATGTACCTGGCTATAACATGTTAAAGAGACAAGTGAGTATCATTCAGTCAACATTGATCAATGTATATTGGTATGAGTATATAGCCAGAGGTGTCATCTTTCCATATTTAGCAACTTTAATAGCACTCGACTCGAAAGAATAAAAATGATATGCTGGATTCATTGGGCTCGTCATGTGTGAACTTGAATGTGTTTTTACTGTTTCTGATGTTAAAAGAATAACAACAAATTCTTGCCTAAACTGATAATGCTGAAAAAGACATTAGCTGTTGAGTTTTGGTAGGAAAATGCAGATATTTGTTAGAGATTAAGTCCAAATTGTTTTCAAAGAGACTCAAAAAATAAAAAAATAAAAGTTACCAGTTGAATATGTTTTCATTGCACGTTTAGTTTCATGCAAAATTCTCACAAAATTGAGAGTCAAGCCACAGCAATGAGTCGAGGGTCCTTTTAAACCAAGTCCACACTGTTTTCCATGGAAACATAGCAATAAAATATTCAGAAAAATTTCAATTAACAAAATGCATCAGTTTGGGTGATGAGCAGTACATTAGCCATATTGTTTTGTTGAAATATTTTAAGTTCTTGCCTGGAATGGGATGGGAACTCTTACAGGTGCCAACCAAGAACAATACTGATGCATGATGGGTAGAAATGGGATTCATTCAGGGTTTTTCTACTTGTACAGGGATATGCGTGTGTTACTTCTTGTAGTAGTCGGCACTAATGTTGGTTTTATCATGTTTACTGTGCTGGATCCGAGACATCGATTGATTGTTGTTGTTTAACGCCGCACTCAGCAATATTCCAGCTAATTGGTGGTGATCTGTAAATAATCGAGTCTGGACCAGACAATTCAGTGATCAACAGCATAAGCATCATTCTATGCAATTGGGATACAATGACATGTGTCAACCAAGTCAGTGAGCCTGACCACCCAATCCCGTTAGCCGCCTTGTACAACAAGCATGGGTTACAGAAGACCAATTCTAACCAATTCACGGGTTGGATCCAAGACAAAATGCCACAATTCAACAGGAACACCCATCACACAGTCTGCTGAACACAAGCTGAACATTCTTAGCTACTATATGCTGAGTGCAGTAAAATTTCGAGATTTTCAATGTCTTAACCATGCATTATATTCAAAAGAAGTTACTGTAAATGATGTCTAAATCTTCAAAGACAATACAACCTTTTAATCATGAAAAAATAACAAATTACATTGTTTAATCTATTAGTCACATGATCATAACGGGTCAGGGTATTGAGACGGGTACCTGGGTCCAAATCATTACCCATCTGTCCCGGATATCTGGGTTACCCGTCCCAGCCCTACTCCCTGGTGCTGGTAGCCCCAAGGTCAATCTAAGAAAACAGGCTGGGTTTGCCCTTAACCCAGAAAAGCTGCAAGCCCTAAGGATCCAGGGCCTATATTTTCGAAGCTCTCTTAGTGCTAAGATGGTCGTAAGTGGCATACATTAACATTAACTTATGACTATCTTAGCGCTAAGAGAGCTTCGAAAATCTAGGCCCGAAACATAAAAAGTTGTGTGTCCTGATCAGAATGTGTTGGTCTTATATTTCAACATGGAAATATTACTCTTAGTTATTGGGAATGAAAAAGTAGTCGGCCATAAGGTCCTGCAGAAAACAAAAGCTGTGGGTCCGAGTGGTTTTCAGTCGGCTTCGGGCCTAACGACCAACTTTAATTTCGAACGCTGGCTGCGAATGGTATAAACTGGATATGATATAGGCTGGTGGACAGTTTTGCCTGATGATGTCCTAAGTGAATCACATGTTTTGTCAGCAACAAATGTCAAGGTTACAAGTGTTACCTAGCAACATGAATTATGAATGTCTTAAATCCAATCCCAGGTGGTTTGGCAAGTCTAGATTGCCTTCGCTCTGAGAACTGTTCCAGGCTCCTGTTGGAGTTTTTTACTTCATTTTTTTGGCGGATATATATTTTTACATAAGACGACTTTATTTCTGGAAATATTAGTCAGTCTAGGATGGAGGCGGTGGGGTAGCTTAGTGGTTAAACTCATAATGCCATTGACCCGGGTGTGAATACCATTTCTGGTGTCCCTCGCCATGATATTGCTGGAATATTGCTAAAAGAGGCATAAAACTATACTCACTCAGTCAGTCTAGGATGTACATCTCTGGACCATGGAAATTTGGACCATGTTATACTATTGTTTTATATTTGGTTAAATAAATATATCATTGGTGTTGCAATTTATTTATATTTTCTGTTCTAGCCACCTTTATGTAGAAAAGATTCTAAAAATCTGTGAAACATCCCAGTTTGAATGGAGAAATTCCAAAATACCTGACAATTTGCAAAAATAAGAACTAAAAATATCAAATTTCAAAAAGAAATGTCCCTGTTTGTCAGCCAAAAGCATTCAGTTAGGAATCCAAAATATATCCCAGCAGGTGGTGTTGGGCATTAGGCAGATAAATCAAGGCCTTTGAGGCTTCAAATTTGTAAAGTTTGACTGAGTTTGGTATATGTGTCAACAAGCTGGCACTGTAAAACCTGCATGAGACTGGAGAAGAATACAAACAGCCGCACACATGCACATATATCTTGGGCACAGATGGTACAGCAGCTAAGATACAGCAGTTTTATGAAGAGATGTACATCCTAGACTGACTGAGTGAGTTTTGTTTTATGCCGCTTTTAGCAATATTCCAGCTATATCACAGCTAGGGACACCAGAAATTGGCTTTACACATTGTACCCACATGGGGAAATCGAACCTGAGTCTTTGGCGTGACAAGCGAACGCTTTAACCATTAGGCTACCCCACCGCCCCGTATTTCAGGGAATATGTGCTTGCAGTTAGTGGAAAAACATCAAAACTCATTCTTCTCAGCTGTAACTCTTTCGTGAAAAACTGTTCTCTTTACTCATGAAAATGAGGTAATATCTTTAACTACTTCAGAGGGACTATTTTCCTAGTGAGAACAACAATAAGAATCATTTTCTCTCTGTATGTCCTATATTGCCTGGACCATCAGTTCATAATCAGGGGCAGCAGGTATTTTTAAAATCAAGATAAATCCCTGCACCACTCCAGGTAACAAGGAGTACATCTTAAACTGTCCCCCGCCGTGATATTGCTGGAATATTGCTAAAAGCGGTGTAAAACTAACCTCACTCACTCACTCTTAAACTGTCTGTGGTGAGACTGAGCCTGGGACTGAACTAACAACTGCTCGCATTCTGCCCTTATGGTTGGTCGGTTGTTTAACGCCACACTCTATTCAACCATATATGATGGTCATTTGTAATAATCGAGTCTGGACCAGACAATCCAGTGATCAACAGCATGAACTTTGATCTACGCAATTGGGATACGACGACATGTGTCAACCAAGTCAGCGAGCCTGACCACCCAACCCCATTAGTCGCCTCTTACGACAAGTATGGGTTACTGAAGACAAATTCTAACACAGATCTTCAAGGGTTCTTGTGGCATAGAGGAAAATGGGTGTCTCGGAGATATAGCAATGCTTTACTCATTTCACTTATATTAATATCATTATTAAGCTTTAAAGTTTGTTTATAGCTGATCTTCACGGGTAGTAAGAAATAAAACGTCAACCTAATAGGAAAAAGACAATGCAAAAACAACTAGTGCTATCAGTTCTAAAAGTACAATCCATTAATCACTCACGCAAGCTATATTAGGCTGGCATATATAGAATAAAGTTTTTCAATTACTTATTTTGCAAGGTTATGACAGGAATACTATCTCATTCTCTTGAGGGCTTGTCAATGCTGTCAGTTGGATTTTAATAATACCTCAAGGTTACGATCATGAATAATGGTGTTTGACCATGTAGAAACGTGTACTTTTGATTGTCAGTCAAGTGCACCAGTGACCTTGTTTGTATGGGTAACATCGACCCATCGTATGTATATTATGTCCTCTGATTACTAATAAACAAACAAGATACTCTTACAGCAGTTTATCATGTTTACGTGTGTCTGTGAAAACCTTGGATCCAAAATGAAACCAGGGGGTACATGAGCCTACCTTTTCTCATTTGTTTGTTCATTGAAATTTGATGTAAGTGTATGCATGAAAGAAACTGTTTTGAGTAAAAAGTCAGAGGAAATGTTTGCATAGTCAGAAAGTAATGAAAACATAAGTGACTGGTGTTGTAACCATGGGGTTTTATTGTTATTGTCAATAAATATATTCATATGACTACACTTGGGTAAAGATAGTCCCACTTGGGACCAACCAGACCAAGTACCCTTTCTTGCCCCTGTATTTTACTTCTTGTATACAAGCAAATAAACATTAACTGGTGATTTAATGTTCATAGTTTATTCAGATTATGCTTCATATATGGAGCTTTGTGCTCAAATCAATGTACATGTAACCCTAGTTTTCCTTTAACATACTGAAAACAATAGACATGTACTGGTCTCGAAGGCAATTAATTAGATTAACGTAATTACTTAAATCATAATTTCTAGATTATATAAAGAGAAAGAACAGACTGAAGTATTGTATCCTTGTCTGGAATTATTGCGTTAAACGTTAGAATTACTTTACCTGAAAGGAATTACATAGATTTGACAAGTATAGTGTCTATCCTACACTGAACACTTGATGCTGTAGGAGTGAGTTAGTTTAGTTTTTAGCAATATTCCAGCAATAACATGGTGGGGGACACTAGAAGCTGGCTTCACACATTGTACCAATTTGGAAATCGAACCCGGGTCTTCGCTGTGACGAGTGACTGCGCTAACAACCCCACCGCCCTTGCTGTTGTAGGGAGTAAACATTGATCACTATAACGAAAACAATTGATCATATCCCTGCTGACACTAAAACTCTTCAGTGACTTCCCATCAAATTCTGTATCCAACACAACATTGATCACCTTGTTCTACAGAGTGTGAAACAACAAGCCTGACAGCTTCTGTCTCTTCGTAAAAAAATGTCAACCAGCTGGAATGTCCAAGCTCCATAAAGAATTCTCAACCGTCAATGGACAACAAAAACTGACATTTCCACCTAAGACTATGTATGTGTATCTGTGTGAGTGTGTGCCTGCACACACGCGTGCTTGTATGTTTTGTGAAATTAAAGGGCCACTGATCCAGAGCAATTTCCGTGGACTGGTTGTTGCTTTTGTTATTTGTTTTTCTCCAGTGAGTATCCGGATGATATCCCAGAATTCATGACTGGTTCGTTACCTCTGCTGCAGCCTCCTCATGCGCAATTGATAGTATAAGTATAGACTGATCAACAAAGATGAAATCTTTTTTACTCGATAATCTCATGTTGATTTTGTTGTAAAATTATGTATACTTTGATGAATAATTTGGTTTCTATTAGAAAAATATTCACTTTGATAAAAATGCTGATTTTGATGTAAAATTTTGATTTCACAGTAATGTTGACTTTATAAAATTGTTAACGTAAATGGATATAGAATTTGATTTAAGAAATAGTTTGACCTTGAATTTGGTGCGAAGCCTGATATAATAGCATTGTTTGAAAGTAAGGCTAACTAAGTACATGTGGAGTCTTGGGGAGAGTAGTGAGCTTGGGTTCACTACTAGTCAATCTGAATATTGTATTAAATGGCATTATTTTGATAATAAATGAAAATATTTTAAGTTTAACCATCTGCCAGTGGTAATAAATGTTAGGACTGAAATAACGAAGTCAATGTACGTCTTTATATTTTGTCTTATATATCTCATATTTGTATGCATTTTGAAACTTAATAAAATGAACACGATCTGCTTATATTTGGTGAATTTATAACATGACTGTAATATCTAGACATCTTATGGATTGCCAACGTGTATCATATTTCACACAAAAACCCTAAATGCGACCTAGTGTATGTTGTCTGTCTCATTACACTTCACGGCAAAAAAATGATTCTGTTGAATGCCATAACAAATAAATAAAAACAAAATGCAAATATTAAAATTAAAACAGACCAAAGTTATAGCAACAATATCAGGCTATTACCTTGTTCGGGGAATGTATCCATCACTATCCACATAAAGGAATGAGATGCCATTCATCTGCAGCTGACAAAGTATCCTGTTCCATGTCATGTGTCTTTTAACAGTCTAATATGTGAAAAAGTGATCTATCGTTTCAGGTTTTTCACATTGGTGTATAGTCCCATTGGTCACCCAAGATAGCACACCTGGCAACTAATTGCATGATGTCCGCCATTCTTTAAAAAAGTAATTTAGTTAGCCAATAATGAGCAATCAATCAATGTATTGGCGGTTAATCCTTTGAAGGAAGGACGTTGTTTTTACAAAGAGACTTTACGACAGGGTGTATTCAGTAGGGTTGGGTATTGCCACAAATGTCGTATTGCAATATATTGTGATATGTGTTGGCGTATTGCAATATATTGTGAAAGTGTAACATATGGTTTAAGGTAATGAAATGACTGTTTCCTTTCTTTTGAAACAATGCCACTGGCCACTGTCAGAACTCGGATGTGATTGTTCAAGAGATCAATTGAAAATGCTTCCAAATTGAAGACTTCGCTTTAAAGTTTACAACTCGAGAAAATGCATCTGCAGAGGCGTCCGCCATTTTAGTTTGTTTATCCCTACAACGAGTGCCGGTACCAATTCTATTTTGTTTTATATATATGGTTTAAAAGTCACGCAAATGCAATTGTATGACCAATAAACATTCTCAAATCTTTTATGTATCATAATATAAAGGAAATACAAATGCTATTAGTATTTTTGACTATAATCACGAAAATTACCGATCATGGTCACTGAAATTGCCGATCGTATCGGCTGAACCGGTTCGCGAAAAATGTACCGCAATATATCGTATTGTGAAGTTCGAATTGCAATATACCGGTTAACCGGTATTATCGTCCACCCCTAGTATTCAGTATAGATTAGTAAATCTACATACATAAAAACTACCTTTTGACAAATCCGCTGTGCAGGATAAAAGCAATTAATCAATCAGCGTGTGATCGGTTAATCCTTTGATCGATGTTTGTTTTGTAACTCAGCTGATAATTCCTCTTACTGCACTTCCATGCGTATATTACATAAGATGTAATACATTTGCCACATCAGACCTCAATTTATAATGATGAGTATTTACTCCAGACACAAGAAATGCCAAATGGGAACCTTTGTCGGGTAATCTGAGTGGTGTTATCACTAATTATACCTGTTATAAATTCATTAACTGACCATCAAGTGAATGATGACAAATAACATGTGTAGGTTTACCATCAAACAAGGGTTACAGCAAGAGAGTAGTAATCGCTGTATTGCATGCAAGTTTCATTGCCCGAAAAAAAATTATGGGCCGACACTTTTTTGAGGATACGAACGGATCTTCTTTGATACATAAGAAATATATATAAGCATTTGCTGTGTACTTAGTTAAAACTGTATATACCCATGTACCTATAAGTAAAATTTCAGATTATTTTGCAATGGCAAATTGGGGTTGTTTAGTTTATGGATTCAAATATATCAAATGTGTGTTTTTGATATCATAGCATACGTAATAGACATCATATTTTACATGATTAAATATCGAGGTAAAAAACACAGAAATAGGATCAAATTGGATCAGTTACCATACCATCCAAACATTAGAAAATCTGAAAGAGCCTACACTGCTGGGATACTTTATTACAATCAGACAAGAACTACCGGGTATATTTTTCAAATAACGGCATCTGATGGGCATCCGCCCTTTCTAATGTCCCACTGATTAGGTTGAAGAAATTCTGCCAAGGTGGACAGTAACCCAGTCCCCGTGTCAGTCACGGTCAAGGGAGAAAGGGCTGACCAGTTTGCAGCTAGGTTTCGTAATTAGACTGTTGGCCGGAAACACTAATTGCTCTGGATCAGTGGCCCTTTAATTCCTTGCCTCTTCAATGAATGTATGAACCCACAAAAAACATTTGGGCAATAGCACTAACAACTACCCATTCCATTTATGCCTAATTTCTGATGAAGATGACCGTAAGCTCAAATTCCATCATGCATATCAATCTTGATTTTAATGCTTAGTTTCACTGCAAAAGAACAATAAACCATTTTGACACAGGTTACCATTTACAATAACCACATCTAAATTTGATATAGCCTCTGAACTGTTGAGTATGATGCTGCCTCTGCTAACAACAATAACTAAACAACTCAACAACGCTACAATACTTTATTTCGTTAATGCATAATTAACTTCTCCCTTACAATCTGGAACATAGTATGTCAATTGCAATCTATGACCAGAGACATGACTTATTCTGGAACCCCTGGGGGAGTACTGCACTTTACCGGGCGCACTTTTTTCAGACTAATTAGCGCTGCTGGGATTCCCTAACCCTAACCCTTACCCCTAACCCTAAGGATCGTAAAGGGTGCCTAACCCTAAGGATCGTAAAGGGTGCCTAACCCCAAGGATAGTAAAGGGTGCCTAACCCTAAACCTAAGGATCGTAAAGGGTGCCTAACCCTAACCCTAAGGATCGTAAAGGGAGCAGTGAGGGCTGCGCCCGGTAAAGTGCATTCTAGCCAGAGTAATTACTAGATGTGCTGGTGTGATGAACTATCACTTTAAATATCATGTTCAACAAACTTTATGCACTTCTACGTAATATCTGCATGGTGACGGTCATGTCTTTGCAAAGTATCAATATGAAAGTAGGTTTATTATGCTGAAGAACATAACATGCCGACAACATGGTCGACGCACATTAAAGCATGACCTATTTAATAGATCACGTAAGCTTATCAAACTTAGACACGGATTCCGACTCCAACGAATCACAAACATGAAACTTGCACTTTAGATCAAGCATCTGCATAACAGGGCATGGGACATTAAAAATACCGCTAGATCTGAAGACTGACAACTTCAAATATTCATTGCAAAGTGGAATGAAATCAACGGTGGTATTATAACACTCCATATGTATGCATATACATAACAAACACACAATTAATCGGTAAAACAGCTTTTTCACATTTACGTTTACAATAAATCTCACCACAACAGCTTGTGCCCGTCCCACTAATAATAGCGACATCTAGCGTCAATCAATTCAAGGAAGACAACTTTGCTTGACAAAATTAGATGCTATATTCCAGATAACTAATAATTATGAAGCATGCTCGTAATGACTCAAGTCGTGAAAAGAGAAATCTTTAACAGGACCATATCCTCTGAAAAGGTTTATTTGACATATTTTACAAAATAGCAGCACCTATGCACATACAGTTCTCTCTGTTTTCATCGTTGATACAACATCAAGGATGAAAGGCTGCTTTGAAATACGTTCTTTGATGCCATAAATGACGATAGTAAACATTACATACAACAAATAATTTGAGGGCATTTGAAAGTTGGGAAGGACAATACTGACATATGTATGGAGAATAACTTCTTAAATTTTATGAGTGCGACTTATTAACTTGTGAAGGAACATACTGATTTATCGTCCCAGCAAGAACATTTAAATTACATTTTTTTGCAAAAGGGAACAGATAATTCATAATACGGTAGGTAATATGTCCAGTTCTTATCCACTGTCAGTGAATGTGTTTAGTTTTACGCCGCTTTTAGCAATATTCCAGCAATATAAGAGTGGGGGACACCAGAATACGCTTCACACAGTGTTCCCATGTGGGGAATCGAACCTAGGTCTTCGGCGTGACGAGCGAACGCTTTAACCACTAGGCTACCCCACCGCTCTCTTATCCCTAAGTGGACGTATCACTCTCCATTGTTTACCAATGTTAATGCTATGACAAAATACTTGCCCAAGTCTCCTGAACCTGTCTGTTACGCCAAACGAATATTAAGCAGATCCTCTGAAAACAAAACACACAATTAATTCCAAGTTGTAACAACAACAATCGACTGCTGGTTAATTTGAAGTTATATTGTTCCAATTAAGACACTCACAAATTAGCTTCCATTTATCTCCTAATTAGGGGCACAATCAAAGATAGTGTCGTTAATTTGATATTGTTTGTAGATTTGAGTTTTATATATAAGGAACGTTGTCCTGTTTTTCAAAGTGTGAATTCCTAGATTCGGTGTGTGCAGTCGCGTGATAAACTCTCCAGCATCATTTTACATGAGCACTGTCTGGCCGTTATTCTCGCACACTACAGCAGAGCAGCCCTGAGGGTTTGTGAGCCCCAACAAAAACAAGGTAGCGTAACAGGGTCGAGTAACACTTCTAACATATTTGCTGCTTCTTAAAGATAACTGATTCTGATATCGAGTAGTCGCTTCACACGTAAGTCTCTGCTTCTCCCAACGAACGATTTTGACTCGCCACGCCCACTGTAGCATCGGTTCCCAATTGCGCAGATCGATGTTCATGCTGTTGATCGCTGGATTGTCTGGTCCAGACTCGATTATTTACAGACCGCCGCCATATAGCGGGAATATTGCTGAGTGCGGTGTAAAACTAAACTCACTGACTCACTGTAGCAGCTAGTCAGTATCAAAATCATTTATAGGGAACAGCATGGACACACGGTTACCGCAGCCATTTGCACACGTGACTTGGGCTGAACCAGATGCCGTTACTATTGCTGAAGGGATCGTTGTCGGCACGGGTACTACAGATGTACCCAGAAACGTACCCGGCCCAAAAACAGAACACATAAATCAGACAGACAGACAGGTTTATTTCATAAATGTGGACACGAGGCCAACAGTAGAAAATGATAATTTGGATTAAGTTTTTTATTTAATGGACATTGTTTACGGAGTATGATATTATGGTTCTTAGTGTTTAGAAGATGTAGATGTTTGTTTATTTGGATTCATAATATAGATACTTGGTATGTAGTGAGTTCTTTCCGCTGCGTATAAAGGGCATTTCTTTAACACATGATACTCATCTTCTGGTATACTTAAACAATAATCGCACATAGCTACACTAATGTCATTGTCTTTAGATCTTCTATAGGAAACTATTTTCAGAATACATACATGATCGGAACTGTCAAAACAGTAACATGAGTTGTATTAGATGCGCCATGTGAGAGTGAGTGAGTTGGGTTTCACGCCGCTTTTAGCAATATTCCAGCAATATCACGGCGGGGACACCAGAAATGGGCTTCACACAATGTACCCATGTGGGGAATCGAACCCGGGTCTTCGGCGTGACGAGCGAACGCTTTAACCACTAGGCTACCCCACCGCCCCCGCGTCATGTGAGAAACGAGCATACGTAGTAACGAATATTTCGCGATACACAATGCCATTCGCAGTCATTTGAATTGGAACAACTAAATACGGTTTCGTTTTTACTTTGTTCTGGGTACATTTCTGTATACAGAAACGTATAGTAACTGTGCCGACAACGTCCCCTTCAGTAGAAGCTAAATATATAAATTAATTTTAAATATCTGTTTGCATTTAAAATGAGAAAGTGAATATGGGTAAAATACAAAATAATGTACATGTACACGACTCTCGAGATACAGAATGTTCATCACACATGCATAATTAGTGTTTTGGTCTCTCGAAAATAGTACTTATGTGGACCAATTTCGAGACATACAGTTATCATAGATGCTTGTCACTATGTTGGGTCCGTTGGATGTCAACGTTGGCCCAACGTCTTTTGACGGTCGGGCCAACGTTGGCTAAACATCGTGAGCCCAACGTTGGATCAATGTCTGTTGTATTCCTCAAAACCACCAAAGTAGCCTGATAACTAAAATGTTTCTGAATAAATTTAGTTCAAACAAATTTCAAGGCCATATTTTTCACAAATGATATAAAACAATATTAAAAATTTGCCCAACATTAGGTCAACGTAGGAAAAACGACCGCGACATTGAAAATCATTACCAACGTTGGGCCAGCGTCGAAATGCTGTCTGGGTAGTTTTTCTCTGATTCTGACATAACCTATCACAGTGAAATTCATCGATTCAAATCAAAAGTATAATAGCTAAAATACTGAATAAATTTATTGCATTTATGTAACCCATAAACACACGATCACACTTATAATACCGCATCGAACCTACCATACAAAGACGCATGTGTGTTCTGTAACTTCACTGTGCGTGGTTTTATGCATCGAATATCATTTGATATTTGAGAAGTAGGGTAAACAACAATTTCGGTCAACCTTTTAGATATGTCAACCTTTGAAACTGTAATATTCTATCTTATATCCATAGTGGTAAAGAAAATAACAACCGGGCCCAGATGATTAAGAGACAGGTTAGGAAATGTTATTTGTTGTAGGGAAATATTACACGAATGTCTCACTTTCTTGCTAAAATGATATTTTTAGCATGTTTGTCTCTTTTCACATGTAAATTAGAGTAGTATGTTATAATTAGGATTTGCGAGTTGTGACATTACTTCTTTCCAAATAATGTGACTCGCATGGTTTATTGATTCGCGGTGCACTGTGGGTAACACGCTGGTTGTCGCCATTTTCTACTCGTCGAAGTAAGAACAGGAGGTGAGAAATGGTGTTAAGTATTATTTATGCGTGATAAAAAAGATATGTTGCCACAATGTAATACTGTGCGATCAAAATTGAAATGGAAGCCCTTATTTTGATTGCTGCAAATTCTCTATATATTTCTCTTGTTAGTTGTAAAGAGGATTGAGTTTTGATTACAGTAATTTGAGTGGTTGGTGGTCTTGAACGTTTGTTGAACGTTGCGAGTATATTTGTTTACACATTGGCCGAACACAAGAGAATTGCATGCCATATGTACGTTTTCCACACCATATTTGTAAGTTTTGGATGGAAGCGTGTGATTATGCGATCGTATGAAAATGATTAGATAGGTGTAATGGTTTGTGTTGGTCGTACCACGGGTAAACGGCCACGTTAGCCGTGCCCAATCAGACACAGCGGACGAAGCAAGAAAATCCGTCTTTCGCGTTTGTAGACTCATTAAAATGAAGGGAGAGTTGGAGTGAAGAATAACGTGCCCTGCCTGCTGTGGCGCCAACTGGCGTTTACTCACAGATCCGGCTTAACTTTGCCATCCTCAGGTTACAGTCATTGGTCATAAGTATTCGTCACTGTGCATAATTTCCATAGACTTACACTACAGCCCCCAGTACAGGGATTGGACAGTGGCCATGGGCCATTTTGCACATTAGAATACAAAATGGCCCATTAAAATTTTGAAGTTTACTATTGATGGAAGGGCAAAGGCCCATTCTAAATTCTGAAAATGGCTAATAATCCTGAAAATATCCCATGAGGGAAAGAATACAGAATGTTGTGTATATGTTGCTCATGTAACTACAATGCGGAAAATACTTGAAGGAGCATTACATGGGGATTATGTTTCTGTGACCAAGATGATTTCCTAACAACCTGCAAAATTTGACAACCAAATAACGAAAACTGAATTAATGAAAATTATTACAGCTAAACTAAAATAACATGCAAGTCTATGAGAATTTTGTCGACTGACGAATACTTATGTCCCACCATGACTGTACATTATGTTTTGCTTTGGGTTGTTTAGGCCCAACCATATCCTAAGAAAGTGGCTCCAATTCCACCCATAACCCCGTTTTTATAATCATTCTATGACTAAGAATAGATTTAAAAAAATAAAAATAACTTAAACCTAACCCTAAACCTCTGAAATAATCCTTATAAATAGAATACATTTGAAGTGGGGGTTATGGGCGGAACTCTTACCCAATTGTGATCAAGTAACCCTTTACGATCATTGGGGTTAGGTATCATTTGCCAGTCAAGCACCCTGTTCCAATCCTTAAGGTTAGTTGTAGAAAATGTCATGGGTCAGCTACCTCTTTTTTTTATATTGAATGTATCCAATGCAATGTTAGATAATTCCTTTTCAGGTTTGTGGAGGAAATAGCAACTGTGCGTGTGCAGAAATATTTTGGGTGCTCATGACTAATTATTTTTGATTGTCCATTGGTAGGGTGTTGCCTAGGAGTGTCATTGGCACCGTTGATCATAATTGATAAATTCCTCTTTTGTTGCATTTTGTGCTCAAATAATGATTCATTAACTGCACACAAACATCGAGGGTTTAGACTAGGGCGTATCTTCTATGATATCGTATTTGAAATTTCATTTACTTTCTACATAGTTTTCCTTAATTTCATCTCCAAGTCCCTGTAAATGTTAAACTGAACAAGTTGGTACAAACTACCAAATGACAACAAGTCATACATTTAATTGACGTTTCAGAGACTCAACTTTCATAGATGTTTACACCATCACTAGTTTGATTTTGTTTGTCTCTTTAACTCTTTCAACACCAGTCAACCAGAGGCATTTACTGCCATGACACCGAGTTCCCAGAGACCCTGAGGTCATAGATGAAGCCTATGTTTATGAAGGAAATTATAAGCTTGTAAACCGTTATTGCTACTACATCCCATACACCATTTAAAAGATCTAATCCTACTGTTGATAAATATGAAGTTTATTTTTATAATATTATTCAAATAATACAACTACAACTTAAATAAATGTATTTTTGAATGAAAATGCAAGCTTACATTTATAACGTCCAGATAAACCACGAAAGAAGCAAAAACTATGGCGATTTTTTTCCATTTCATGACATGTCATAACATGCCCGTGCCTTTTCTTTTATATTTTCATTTTACGTCATCAGAAAATTATTATAAAAGATTTCTTAAATAATATGTATGGTAAGCCTATTTCCCGATATCTGTGGCTTTCCACTCGGTAACATGACATAACGGAAAATACCTCCGTTTTGAAGCTTCATTATGCATAACATGCAGGCTTAATCGTTTGATGTCGGGCATCGTTCAAAAGCTCTGAACATCAACAATATCACTGTACCCTTGCCAAGAGTATTTTCACAGTTGTAAGAAGCGATTTTATTGGATTAACTCTTTCAACACCAGTCAACCAGAGGCATTCACTGCCATGACACGAGTTCCCAGAGACTCTGAGGTCATAGATGAAGCCTATGTTTATGAAGGAAATTATAAGCTTGCAAAACGTTATTGCTACTACATCCCATACACCATTTAAAAGATCTAATCCTACTGTTGATAAATATGAAGTTTATTTTTATAATATTATTCAAATAATACAACTACAACTTAAATAAAATTATTTTGAATGAAAATGCAAGCTTACATTTATAGCGTCCAGATAAACCACGAAAGAAGCAAAAACTAAAGGCGATTTTTTCCATTTGTGACATGTCATAACATGCCCGTGCCTTTTCTTTAATATTTTCACTTTTACGTAATCAGAAAATTATTATAAAAGATTTCTTAAATAATATGTATGGTAGCCTATTTCCCGATATCTGTGGCTTTCGGCTCGGTAACATGACATAACAACGGAAAATACCTCCGTTTTGAAGCCATTATATGAATAACATGGGGGCGAATCGTTTGATGCGGGTATCGTTCGAAAGCTCTGAACATCAACAACATCACTGAACCCTTGCGAGTATTTTCACAGTTGTAAGAAGCGATTTTATTGGATAAAAATTGGTTTCTAATGGCGCTTTTAAGCTACAGTCTGCTATAAAGGGTCGTGATTGGTCAAAATCGAGACCGTGACCTAAGGCAGCCAATCATATTACACGCCAATGGATACCGTCCTCGTAAAGCGAAATCTTTTCGATTTAGGCGAAAGTTTTGGGTAAAATAATGCTATTCTGAACATATTAAGCAAGAAATGCGCTACATATCGTAAATTATAGGACTTATTGGACGTATCGTGCTAGGTTATGACCTGTGACAAAATGCTTCATGCATATATTTTCGCATTAAACATCGTGTCGGTGAAAATTGGCGAGAGCGAGATGTCACTTGTCAGTGATTTGACTTGCATTACATGATCGCACAAAAGATGGAAAAAGTAATTTTATATATGCGTTTGACAACTTTTATGAATGCTGTTGTTGATTTTATTCATTAGTTTATTCTATTTATTTAATCATTTCCTCGAACCATCGTTACTTTGCACTTTGACAATGTTATTGTGGACCCGGCTCGAAGCATGTGTCGAGAATCGTTGTTTTCAATTACATTCGCGAAAAATAGTTTATAATTTTAATTCTGCCGATAATATATGATCAATTGAAATTTAATAAGTGTTTCCAGACATTGTGAAATGTGATGGATTTAATATATGAATCATAAGTCAGGTAAGTTCCTAAAATTATGTCTCATTTTGGCGTGACTACTGCCTGGCGGCAAAAGCGGCCTCCGGTGTCTGGGGACTCATAGCGTTGTGGCGGCAAAGCGGCCCGCGGTGTTGAAAGGGTTAAATTTAATAAGTGTTTTCAGACATTGTTAAATGTGATAGATTTAATATATGAATCATAAGTCAGGTAGGTTCCTAAAATTTCGTCTCATTTTGACGTGACTACTGCCTGGTCGCTTAATCGGCCTCCGGTGTTCCTTAAGCGGCCTGCGGTGTTGAATGGGTTAATGTGCAATACTTCCCCTTTTCCCCCAAACACAATGACAAAAACCCACTTACCAATACCATGTAGTGGACATATTTGTTGGAAGAAGCATCCACATTCAATAAATCATTGTGATGTGTAGTTATCTTTTTGATGAATCAGCAAGTTTCCACTCACCATCGTTCAGTTATTTTGATCCAAGTGTTCTTGCTTTTTGGTTGTATTTCTTACTGTAGGACATCTGTTTATAACACATTTTGCAAACAACATGTAGTTTTGGTTCTACCTAGCCTACACAGGCATTCAATAAAAAAATGACCCATACTTTACCTGTTTTGGTGGCATAAGAAAGTCACAATACTGGTGCTTATAATAAAGTACACAACTTTTTGGATAACAACTTCTTGTTTATTGCATAGAAAGCCGATTCAGTGTAGATTCTTACACCCTCACTCTGTGCAATACACAAGGAGTTGTTGTCCATAAAGTTGTATGCTTTACTATTGACACACCAACTTCTCGAATGCTGATTAAACAATACCTGTGCTGTTGTTAATGGACATTACCTCGTAGAGACAGTAGAAGTGGTGTGAAAATGCTAAAATAAGGATTAACGGTGAAGTAGAATTCTCGCATATTCTTTCAGATTTTGTCACTATATTTTGACGTCAAGTTATTTGAATTATTAGTTGAAATATCATTAAAAAATTACTTTTATTGATCAGTATTGAATTTTCGTTGAAAGTGGTTTTAACTCTTAGTCACTGCTAGGCACAAAGTGTATCTAGTTGTAAGGTATCCTTTTAATCATAATACTTGATTTGTATTCAATTTTCCACACTTTCAATACCTTATTGGGGTGGTGGCGTAGCCTAGTGGTTAAATTGTTCGAAGACAGGTTGGATTCCCCACATTGGCACAATGTGTGAAGCCCATTTCTGGTGTTCCCCGCTGTGATATTGCTGGAATATTGCTAAAAGCGGCATCAACCCAATTCACTCACTCACGTCAATACCTTATCACCATTAATTATTAGTCAAGCTCAACTTTAAGTTGGAAGCTTGCAAAGTGAATTCTATCCTCAAGGTGATATCAGCAAAATGCACCCAGTAAAGTGAACTACTGCAGAGTTGTAAAAGTGTTTGGTTCACCACGTGGATGCAATATGTGAAGTCCATTTCAGGTGGCCTTCTGTCATATTGTTTCAATATTACTAAAACTGGAGTAAATCCAACTCTTTCATTCCTTGTTAGAGTGAATTTCAAAACAAAAGATATGCCGGTATTCATTGGCAAATGGTTTTGTAACCATGGGTAGATGGCAAAAAATTCCTGATATTCCGTACTTACATCCAGATGGAGCTGGCGATTTTAGCACAGCTGCATCAGACAGCAGTTGTTTGATAGTGAAAGCATGAGCAAAATATATTAGTTTTCATTCCCATAACATAGCAAACATCTTTACATTTGTGATGCACTTTTCAGTGTATTCGTAATATAAAGATAGCTTAGTGTCAAGATCTCTGTAATTTCATAGAGCAACATTTCCTCACTCAAACATTTGTGTTTTTAAAATTTGTTTTGATGGTTTGATTTGCTTAAGTTCATTAGTTGATTCTAGAACATGGTTAATTTGCTGTTTCAGCATATCATGTCAAGATACAGGGATCAAGGCACAGACACGAAGATTTATGTTGGAGACCTGCCTAAAGATGCATCTGAGAAAGAAATAGATCGCCACTTCAGTTATTACGGACGTTTACGAAATGTATGGGTGGCAAGAAATCCCCCAGGTTTTGCTTTTGTTGAGTTTGAAGACCCACGGGATGCTGAGGATGCTGTGAGAGCACTTGATGGAACGTGAGTAGTGCAAACAATCCAGTTTGAGTAATGTTCATTAAGTTTGTTTGTTTGTGCTACACCAGCAGTCAGCATGACCATAAGCAACTGTAATGTCAGTTTGTTTTAATTGCTGCATTATCTCTGCTAAACAGTGAGGTGATTTGGTTGTTGCAGAACTGTGTGTGGTGCAAGAGTGCGTGTTGAACACTCCACTGGAAAAGTGCGCCCTAAACCATGGCTGAGAGGCAGTGGTGGTGGCGGCGGCAGCGGAGGTGGTGGTGGTGGTGGAGGTGGTGGTGGTGGTGGTCGAGGACCTCCACGTCCCAGGAAACAGTTCCACCCAGAAGACCGATGCTATGAGTGTGGAGACCGAGGACACTATGCTTATGACTGCTACAAGTATAGCCGCAGAAGGTCCAAGAGATCAAGGTGGGTTTTGTGCAGTCTGAAACAATTGCTTCAAAATTGGTTAGAAATTGGGTACATTTTGAATTTGTCCTTTCACAGTGCCTGCTTGTTATGTTTGACATTCATCTGTCCATAAACTTGTGTTCTCAATCATGATGCTACATAGTTACATGAACCATGCTTTTGATGGGGTTGTCAATCCTCTTTCAAATTTTCTTAGCAAAATTGTTAGTGTTGAGGAATCAAGCTTGCTGAGAGGAAAACATGTTCAACTGTGGGAAATGTTTATTTGCAATAAAATTCTAGTTTCAGAAATTATATTGTAGCTGTTGTAGCTATTGGTTTCTTAAGAGGGTTCATGGAATTATGGTGGATATTTGTTTGGAGTTTATAAGCTGCTAATGGGTTTGTAAAGTGGTGACAACTTGGTACTGTCATGGTGGAAATGGAGACATGCTTATTGGATGATCTCTTACTTCGCACTTACTTGCTTGTCAGATTTGGGATTGCTATGTGAGTTTATCTGCTTATTTCTCATTTCAGCAAAAATATTCTGAAGGCTAAGATATGTTATGTAGAAGTACTGAGATATTTAGACTAAAGATAATAATACTGCTTTATACCTGTTTTGTGTTTACAAAATTGAATCAGTGTATCACAGTGACTGTTTTCCTGAAAAACAGATTGGAAAATTCATTTCATGCATTAAAGTCCTACTTTATGTGATACTCAAAAATATATTTTGTTTATAAATACTTTTACGTGTTATAAAATTCTAAAGTGTTGAAATGTTTTTAATAATATGTTAAAATTGGTGAATGGGATGTGATATACAGTCCTGATATTTGATGTTATAGTGAACCTATTTCTGTCACTGCATTGCAGACTTTCCCTTCTTCCACTTACGATTCTGATGAGAATCATCGCTCATTCCACCAGACTAAGATATCAACCTTCATCCCCGACTTCTAGACTTCACATATCTCTCACGTGATCAGCCATCGCTGAAATTACGACCCTATCCCCTCGTGGTGACTTCACTCAGAGAGAAACTCGATCTGCAACAATTTCAGCCCAAAATTCGACCATCTCCTTCAGTTCACCTGAGACAAGCGTCAAATAGATCTCGAAACAACAAGCACAATCGATGATCATCCTTCTATCATGCACAGTAGAATGGGTCAACACATCATTTCTGCTGCGTTCCAATGATTGAATGAGATGATCGATTGACATACACGTCCATTATCTAGAAATTCATGACTGCTGTAAGCGTAAGTCTAAAGCTGCCGAGAATAAATCTGATATAAGACAAGATATGGTTGCTTTCCTAACTGGCAAAGACTATTCATCACCCGATATTTTTGTTTTTTAATGAAATAATGTCCAAAGTAATATTCTTTTTGAAAGTTTCACTTTTGGGCTAATTTCCTTCCAAGAATTAGTTCTTAAAGTAAAACAATTTTTCGGTTATTTTTTTCTTATATTTGTTAGTTAAATCTGGTGCTGCATGTATTCTTGCATTTCAGCTTACATGTTAGTGTAAAAATGTACATTAAATTGAATGGTGCATATTTTCTAAGTCCCGTTACCTGGATTGTTTTTGGTAGAGTTATTTTCAGGTGACCTTTGGTCTGTGGTGAGTGAAGTGTAAGAGTAAACTAAAAAATTGCTTCCCAAATTTTTATATTTACACACAAAACTAATCTTCCATTGAGATATTATAGTATGTCATATATCCAAACAGGCTGTTTTCGTTTTTACTATATTTGCATTGTGTAAAGCAAACGACTGATATACTTTCAGGTCTAGATCACATTCTAGATCAAGGAGTATCTCTCGCAGCCGGAGCCGTAGTAGGAGCCGTAGCCGCAGCCGAGGTGGAAGATATTCCCGCAGCCGAAGCCACAGTCGGAGCAGGTATATACATGTTTTGCTCTGTCTTCATTTGATCGTACCGAAGCAAATTTTTTTGGGTGTAGGTAGAACCCACTACTTCACAGGTCAAATTAGTGTTGGTTTTTAGATTTTGTGAAAACAACTAGTCTGTCGAGATTGTTACCATCCTTGGTCAAACAGATGTTAACAGCTAACAATACATGAGGCAGGGATGATAAGAGGTGAATTGTGAGGAATAGTGTATGATGTTCCTGACCAGATGGAAACCGATTGCTTTTGGGGTAGTCTGCCTGCCTGCTTATCTTACTGAAGGTACAATGTGAGCCTGTATGTGTCCTTGCCATGTTATTGCTATCAAAAACTGAACAAATATATTTACACAAACTTGCTGGGTTTGTTTAAACGTACAGTGAGTTGAGTTTAATGCTACGTAACAGTATTCAAGTTATATCATAGTGTGTCGGCTTGATGTGAGATGAAAGCCTGAAGTGATGCACTTTTCAGATGTTTATCATGCTGGTTAAACCCACGAATGCTTTCAAACTAAGAAATATGGACAGATTCGAGATTCAAACCATGCTGAAGAGACATTTCTGCCCAAGTGATTGCTTCTCATATGGCTTTGCTACCATGGGGAGCTGTCAGGAACATTGTTATGATAGAGTATAAAGTTTTGCATTTGCACTTGAATGAAGAACTGACCATCTTCCGTATCTTGTTCCTCAGGTCCCCACGGGATCGATCCCGATCTCGATCACGCTCCCGAGACCATGAAGATGACCGAGAATAAGAAGGATATACTGAGTGCTGCACAATATTGTCCTTCAATCAGAACAACTGTTGACTGTTCAATCATGTATATCATTGCTACTGTTCTGTAACGGAAACTAGGTGTAAGTACTTAACTATTGGATGTTGGAACAGCCAGATGGACAATGCAAGGAAAAGTTGTGGAGAGAGAGTTGAATCAGGATTGCTGCAAAGATTGACAACATGTAGGATGCTGAACAGTTTCTCTGTAGAAATGACTCCTGTCGCTGGAACAAATACAGAACAGAACATAAATGTGTTCTGTTGAATTCCAACAGTTAGGATTGATGATACTTCTGTAATTGAAAAGTGTATGTTGAACAGTTTGACTTACTTTTTTTTTAACGTCTCATCCCTGTCATTGTCTTTAGTTCATTGTCATTTCTTTTGTCATTTTACAAGAGTTTCATACAGTGTACCATCTGATGTATTGAATTCCATTTAATAAAGGTTCCTCTGTGTACTTATATATTGTTTTGTTGTGATGCAAACATGGTTTAGTGGCTGTAAGACATGTTTTTGAAGGCAAGGCCGGTATATTTGCAATAGCATGTGGCTGTTATTCCTGGCCTTACAAATATGCTGGTGTTAAAGAGGCTAGATTTGGCATCAGTGTGGTTTGACTGGTTTTGTCTTCCATTTCATGCACTGAGTGTTTGGAATACAGCTCCTAATGCATGGAGTGTGGAATACACAGCTGAGTGGTATCTAAATTGGGCTCCTTTTCCTGCCTACAAATCCATTCCTATGTTGCAACTGAAGTACTGTTAAATGTAACAGCATTGGTATTTGCATTCTGAATCTAGGAGGCAAATTGTTCAACTGGTATATTGGTGTATGCTGCTTTAGGCGAGGAGTTGTCTCCCTTTTACTATTGCCATATAATCAGTAGGCCATGTGTGTTCTGGAAGGCAATGCCTTTGACTCATGGCATATCAACTGAAACGTAACCCTTGCTACTAAGATGGACATTGGGCATTAGGTGATTGCCTAATGGAAAATGACAGGTACCAATTGCAGGATTCATATTTGGGGATGTACTGAAGTTCTGCATACATTTTAGAGCTGTGGTAAAGCTATTTTGCAGGCGAAAACAACATTCAAACCTACTAGACACATTCCTTAAATTCTGTTGATATTTCGCAGGTCTTCGTCACAATTGATGAAAAACAGTTCAGTGTTGACTGAAGAATGAGTTTATTCGAGTATAAGGGTCAAACCATTGACCAACATACGCTTGCAAATGTCACATTTGCAGTCATGTGACAACACATTTAGCCCAATGGGAAAGCTGTATAAAATGCTTGTTGGATTTTATGAACCATATGATGAATTAAGAACAAGTTGTTTTTGCGAATTTTATTACTCCACCAATGACAGTTCTGATGGCTACAAAAGCTGCACATGCTAGCATGCATGCACACACACATTCAAACTGAAACAATGATACAAATGTTTGATACAAATAATGCATCTATCATTAATGGTTTGCCATTCTGAATAACAGTACTTCCATCTAGTTCATTGTTTGACACCCCACTCCGCAATATTCCAGCTATTTGGCGGTGATCTGTAAATAATCGAGTCCAACGCAACTGCAACCAGACTGCCAGCCTATGGGATACCACAGTCATGGGCTCGGACAAGGTTATGCCTGTAATTTAACTTCACAACTACAAAAGACAAATAGTTAAGGATAATTTGAAAGTTCACACTTGTTATTGCAATCAGGAACAATAAGATGTTTTATGCAAAATATATTGTATCGTAATGGTATGATTTCAGTCTGTTGTAACGATAAGAGTGTTGTCGCCACACCGGTAGAGATTTCTTAAACCACACACTTTAATTCGCTCTAATTAATTATCAAAACAGAGGATTGCCTTCAAACTTGACAATTATGGTAAACCCATTTTCGGGAATCACATTTAGAGTTCACACAAACAAATTCACCAAATATGGTACCACTAAGATACCTTAAAGTCATCTTGTGTGGCCGACATGGGCATCGATGACGTCGTTGTGTCGTCTGTACATGGAATGAATTAGCCGGTTGATGAAGGCCATAGGCAGTTGGGTCCATACTCTGTGAAATGCCTGATCGAGTCCAGCCGTAGTTGTCGGCCTTGGTTGAAGGTCATTCAGTCTTCTTTGAATCTCGTCCCAAAGTTGTTCTATTGGACTTAAATCCGGACTGAGTGCAGGCCTTTGTAGGGTTTGGATGCCATGTTGCATTAGGAAGTCCAGTGTTGCTCTGGCAGTGTGAGCACGAGCTTTGTCTTGCTGGAAGGTGTGAGTTCTGTGGCGTTCAAAATGTGGTACAAAGTGGGGTCTCATGACTTGGTCACTATAGCGAGCAGCTGTCACGCCATTTCCTCATCCTGGACTGTGATTCTGGAACACCATGGGGTCAACTCTAGTTCAGATCGATTCCACACCACACCATGATGCTTGGACCACCCCACGAGTCTCTTTCAACAATACACGCATTTGAAAGCCGTTCCCCACGTCTTCGCTGTACTCTCACTCTGCCATCGCCTGTCGAAACACAATATCGGCTTTCATCAGAAAAAAAGAAGAGTTCTCCATTGTCAATTACACCAACTGCGATGATGAGTTGCCCATTGCAGTCAGTTTGGGTGAGGAGTGATGAGAAGAGGACAACGATAGGGTCTGTGACAGCAGGGGATTCTTCCGCGCAAACGTTGATGCACTGTATCGGCACTAATGGTTCTCGTGTGAGTCTCAATGGTCTGGCGAGCTGTTTCCTTGGCTCTGGTGAAGCGATCCTGTAGATGGCTGCGCGCAATCTGTCGATGTTGATGTTGTGATGTAACTGCAGGTCGTCCACTGCGTGGGTGGTCTTGGATGCTGTTAGTGGCCTGATACCGTTCCTGCAGTCGGTAGATTGTCCAAACATGAACATTGAAATGATTGGCTACCCTCTGTGCAATCTGGCCAACTTGCCAAGGCTTGGTTCCTCTGGTAACTCTTAAGTATGGCGATTGTGTCAACACAAGAATGATTCCAGGCGAGTTTGAGACTCGCTTTCATTGGAAGGGTTGTCACGATATGCACGTGCATTTTCATTTTCACAAATGTCATACGGCACCTTTTACCACGTCAGTCTTTTAGGCACGTTTGGTCGATATGCTTTTTCATCAGAAAACACACAGATGTTGGTAATAACTGTCAATTCGGATTAAAAAAACATGTTAACAAACGGTGCAATCATAATAAAAACACCACATTCTAAGTACAAAATTTTGCATTTGGTTTTGAAACATCATTTTTCTTTTGCGGTTCATTAAACATGGTATTCATAACTTGCTGAATATACATATACATTGTTTCCTTACTTTCTTTACTTAGCGCATAGAGAAAGGATATTTCATCAAAACTATTGTGTCTCGATCGTATGAAAACACTGTGACAATATAATGGTGACCGTATTATTCATTGTTGGTTATACAATATCAATTTGTATCATCATAAAATCAAACAAACAAATATGAAAAAACACACAACCAAAGCAAAAGCAAAAGAAAGCAAAAAAATAAAAAGCGACCAAAATACGACAGAAAATCAAAACACATAGATGTTAAACGTTTGCTGTAACGAAGGTTTATGTAATGTCTGAGTTTGGTACCTCTGGTTGCTGGTAGTTTATTACACCAATCACACAATCAGTATGATGTGCGTCAACTGTCCGATTGTTCACTCATCCCCAAAACCGTAAATACGATTTCCCAGTTTCTTGACTTCTTTTCCGCATTCGGTACCAAGAGTACTGAATCCATGGATGTTGCCATGTTCTCCCCAAGGTTTAGCTTTGGGTTTAATATGAGTTTTCTTTGTGGCTTTCGTTTCTTTACCGACTCCTGTACAGCCTTCACCAGCTTCCACACTTGAACCCAATTCCTCTTGACCTTCCTTTAACAATGCCCTCCTGAGCTCTTCTTTACTGTATTTCTTGTCCTTTTCATCTGCCCTTGTTTCTTTCTTTGGATCCTTTTTGGGCTTCTTTCCAGACTTTTGATAAACTTCCCTCCTGACAATTGAAGCTACTGTAGTTTGATAATCTTCTTCTGGTGTATTCCCAATTCCATCCCCGCTTTTATGCACTCCTGATCCGAGAGAGTTACTGACTCCTTTCGATTCACCTGATTCACCTAATGGTTTGCCTCTGCTGTCCTGTTTTGGGGAAAATGGGCTGTCAGATGATTCGTTCAGCAAGGAATTCGAAGAGGATATAGAAATAGATGTTTGTCCAGTTTGTCCACGTTTACATGTTTGCGAGTTGCCACAGCCAGTCCCTTTGCCGGTACCTCCAGCACTGGCTCCCAAGGTCTTCTCCCTCTGCCTCCAGACCCAGGGCCAGGACCAGAATCAGGACCAGGATCATCTGCCCTTTTTTCTTTCTTTGGATCCTTTTTGGGCTTCTTTCCAGACGTTTGATGAACTTCCCTCCTGGCAACTGAATTCGAAACTGCTGTAGTTTGATAATCGTCTTCTGATGTCTTCCCAATTTCATCCCCGCTTTTATACACTCCTGATCCGAGAGCATTACTGACTTCGCGCATCTTTTCCCTTTTCAGTGCCAAAGTTGTGAGTGTTTGAGGCTGTGCTTATTCTTGAATGTGATTCTTGAGTGTTGCTCCTGCCAGTCCCTTTCCCGGTACCACCAGCACTGGCTCCTGAGGTACTTTTGCCTCTGCCCCCAGAGCCAGGACTAGGACCAGACCCAGGAACAGGAACAGGGTCAGTTCCAGTCGCTCCATTCTTGTTTGAACCTGAGTGTACACCACCTGTTCCAGTGTCCTCATGTTGGGGAAGCCTATCCCCAAACTCTACCGTGTCTCTTGGTAATCCATAGGTAGATTCTCCTGCAGTTTCTAATGGCATCTCATTTCCCTTCCCACCATTAGACTTTCCACCTGCCTCCTCTGCTCCTCCACCAAGGAATGGTATTGTGAAGTTGGCAAATCCATGCCCAGGTCTAAACTGGTTGAGAAAATTCGACACTGAAGGCGCCCCAATAGTTAAGTCAATGTTACCAGCAGAAAACTGCGGACCAGCTTTAATATTGGTACCTCTGCTTCTTCTCACGCCGATAGCTACATTACCTGCACTGAAACTTGGCTGAGCTGTTGTATGCCTGTGTGTTCCTTTCCGTCCAAGTCCAAAGGCTTCAACATTGCCAACATTGACTTCAGCTGCAGATGCCCCAACAACAGCAGAATCAATTTCTCTATCATCCACCAAGGTTGCTCGTGCATTTCCTGCATTTATATTTGCCCCTTTCAGATAAGCTAGGTTCCTTTTGATCTTGCCCTCTCGCATCAGAGCTACGTCGGCATTACCAGCCTTCACATCAACAGCAGCCACTTCAATGTGTCCACTTCTTGAATTATCGACAACCTTGCCCACTGCAGAGACATTGCCTGCTGTCACTTTGGCTCCCGAGACGACTGTTGATGACTTTGTCTTCACTTCAGAACTCAAAGCAAAGTTGACATTCCCAGCTTTGACATCAGCTGCTCGAATTGTCCCATTCTTTAGGGCTTCTTTCATTAACTCCATGTCAAGGCCAAGGACATCTTGTATCACTGATACAATCTTGCCCAGGAAAGTGAATACTTTGTCAATTAAACCATTGAACACTTCTAGAAACTTTTTTATCTTTTCCTTTACGAAATGTATGATTGCCAGAATCTTCTTCAAAAGTTCGCATATTTCATGTCCTGCCTCTTTGATGAAGCGAAAAAGTCCACTGTCCTCACCTGCTTTGATAAGCATGTCTGAGAAACTTGTAATATTCTTCTGTATGTCAGCTGACATGTCCTCAACAAGGCTGTTGAATGTTGTGCTGAGGTGACCAACTGTTCCCGACATTTTTTTTATCACGAGAGATATGTCAGACATGTCAGCCACGCGGTTCAACGTTGGATTCTCAACAATTGAAGTTGCAGATTCTGCTAGTCCCTGAGCTTGATCACTGAGATTCCGAGAGGATCCAGTTACTTCTCCAGCCTTGTCCTTTATAACATTGTTGAGAGCTTCCGTTGCTCCTTGGATATTTTTAGTCATATCACTCCACATCTCAATAGTGTCCAGGCTTGTCTGCACCATGTGCTCGCCAGTTTCGATGTAGGACAGAGTCTTGTTGGTAACTTCATTGATTTTCCTGTGAATGAGTAAAAAGGTTCGGATATGCCTTGCCAAAGACTGTCAACATCCAAGCTGAAACGGTACACTCCATTCTCCACATCTTTGGAGAATTTCCAAATTTGATGCGCGTCTTCCTTCATCTGAGGACTGACGCCGGCAATCTTCTTCTTTAACTCTGCATCTTCTGCCTGATCGATGACAGAAGACTTACGCCTTCTATTTGTTTGATGGCTAGTACCGGTCTGGAGTTGGTGTATCTGACTGGTTGCTCCGGGGATATCAGATCCAGGACTGTCATCTGGATGAGGAGATGAATCGTGTCCTGTTGGTGTTCTTGGTCCAGTGGCAGATTTCAGACTTTGCCCAAGTCCTTTGAATGTGTCACCTTTTGTAGAACTGCTCTCCTTGGCCACTGATCCTGGAAACATGAACGCAGTTTGAGCGGATACATCACATGTGTGTATCTGAGAGTGTGTGTGTGAGAGTGAGTGTGTGTGTGAGAGTAAAGAAACCAAACCCTATGGAAATTATGTTCCATATACCCTTTGACCAATTTCCGCGCGTTCTGTTATAATTAAATGGACTAAAACATCATTTATATACGATTCATTTTAAAATGTCAATCCTACAGGATTGTAACTGCCAAAATCATATTTGTTACTTGTAAAACATGAAATAACATAGTCAAAAGTTGAGATTTAATATCATTTGATAGTATACCCGCACTTCCTTTCTTCAGGCCGAGCTCACTGAGGATGCCCTCAGCATCAAATCTAGCCAGTTCCCGTTCTGCCTCCTTTCCATCAAGCAAAGTGCCGTCAGCTTTCACCCATTGCGTTTTGCCTGCAAATATAGACATCTCACGAACACATGTCAGTTAGTGAATGGTGCGGGGCGGTGGGGGTAGCCTAGTGGTTAAAGCGTTCGCTCGTCACGTGGAAGACCCGGGTTCGATTCCCCACACGGGTACAATGTATGAAGCTCATTTCTGCTTTTTGAATAACGCCGAACTCACAGATATTACAACGATATGACGTCGGCTTGTAAATAACTATACTGTTCCAAAAAGTAGGGGAACTTCATTTTTAATTTACGATTGAAAAAATAGGGAAATAAATCAATGTTGATATGATAATAATGAACTTTTTAGAGTGCACCACCTTTTGCACTTCCTTATGACCATAGTTGTTTGTACAGTAATCGCTCTTGAAAGATGACTGGTGTATGGCGTGAAATTTGCATGTGCACAATTTTCATTTTCAAACAAACAAAACGGCTGGAAACAAACACTAACAACTGTGTAATGCCAAAATTAATGGTCTACAGTACAGGGGCGGATACAGCTTTTGAGAAAAGGGGTGGGGTGGGGGGGGGTGGGTTGCACACAATTGAGAAAAGGAGGGGTACACACTTCATTTTCACTCGAGTTACAATGGCCATTTAACAAACTTTCAGCACAAAAGGGGCGTGCGCACCCCTGCACACACACACACGCACGCACACGCACGCACGCGCGCACACACACACACACACACACACACTTGGATCCGCCTATGCAGTGGTTTATCGACGTTCTTGGAAACCGTCAAAATCCAAAATGACACCCTATGCACGTGTATGGGGCTACTGTGTTGTGCACGTGCATCCCATGCGTTTTGTTTAGGTGTGGCGATAAAGAAAAATGGTGGTGCGTTCATAACATGTCTGTCTTTGAAAGGTTGTTAACGCTAATACTTCCTATCCAAATTGAAAGTTCAGGTTCCCCTACTGTTTTTTAAGAGTATGAGACTAAACAAACGCAATAACGATATGTCTTTTTCAGGTTGTTATACGATATTGAAACTTAAACACCTAAACTATTTGATATTTAAACAATCAGAATATACACATGAGAATATGTAAACACAGACATGGACACTCACAGTGAGGCAAAAACACAGGCACACACACAGACACAGACAGACACAGACACACACACACACACACACACACACACACACTCGTACATGCAGTCGGTACTCTCCCCTTAAAGTTTTTGAAGGGCATTTAGAGGTTGGACGAACATGAATATATGGCACGTTTTTATGGATAACAACTTCTTTTTATTCTTTATACGATTTTTCAGAGCTAATTCATGCTCTTTCATCGGGTGAATGCTTTTATTAAAAACGTGTTATGTATTCATACTCTCCCTCTGTACACACAGACCCTTTATATCCCATTATGTTTATACAAAATATTTTTAAAATTTCAACACCTAATCCACCCTGGAACTATGCCAGTCATTGGATGGATAACTCACATAAGAAAAACAGTATCAGCTAGGTAATTATCATGTTTCTTACACACCCGTGGGTGAGAAACCCATGTGAGAAAACTGGTATCACACATATGTGTGAGATCGATTTCTAATCCCGTGATTGGCTACTCCATGGTGATGACCTAGGGTCAGGTTATGACGGACTACTTTCCTGATTAAAATTCATTGATAAGTTACTCGTGCTTCAATCGAACAGAAATCTGTTACTCGTGCAAAAAATACCCCTTTACACCTACCTGTTATTTTCGCGACTGCAACATAAACAGGTATTTATACAATGAGTCACAAGTAGAATAAATATAACACGAATCTATTTATTTTCTAATTCCTTTTATTAAAACTTTTGATTCTTAGTCATGAATTCAAAATGGCTCCAACAATCAGTGATACCTGTGTAAACAATTATGTGAAAATCACCGTTAGAGATAAAGCCCTTGATTCCCTTCGAAATTCAAAATGTACAACACAGGTACTTTTACTGGAGAGATGCGACAAGTGTCATGTGTCGTCTTGCAAATATACCTGACACGATAAAGTCAGTGCCTGTCCATTGTGAGATCGATTTGCCTCGTTGTTTCTTTGATGCATTGATCAAGATGACATGTTTCACTGATACACATGATGAAGACCCACTTCCAGCTCGAGAGATATGTGATTGCAATGTTATCAAATTCACTCATGACAATCAGAACCAAAACACACTCGTTGAAACAATGTACAACATGGAACGTTTTGCAAGGTTTCATGAGTGCAAATGGCGGCACACGTCTTTTCTATTCAATCGAACATTCTCGGACCTCGTTGTATCGCGGCATTCATGGTATCGCGGCAAACGGTATTTCCGGTTTTCCGCTCGAGACACGCCTCCTAGCGGTGATTTGCATATGTAAATCGACAGCCAGACGGCAGTCGCTTGCATACTTTTTGGAAACCAGCAGGATGTATCGAATGTTCGTGAGTATTACCCTGCAGAAATATTAACATTAAACTCAGGAATCTTTGGGAATCTGTCTGACCCCCATCCATGAAATACCTGCTGTAATATTTACGTGTAGTATGTGACCCTTCCCACTCGATCTGAACTAGGTCGTCTGCATATTATTGTTGCCATATAAGGTAGCGGAAATGACGTCATGAGCTATATTTATCTACTGGTGAATACCAAAAGTTGTAATCAAAATAAGGACACAAAACGGAAAATTATCCCTGTTCACTGAAAACGAGTTTGCACACTCTGACAAATTTAGGAAGGATTTTATTATACTGTTGTACACATAATTATTTATTCATATGAACATTATTTCAAATGATATTTTGCATTGAAATAGGGTTGAAATCATGCCTAAAATAAAAAATTGAACAATATTTATATAAATAAATATTAAGAAAACATGATGGAAATGATATATTTTTTATGATATGACTTTTCTGAAATATTTGTTTTCTTTTTTTGTTCAATATTGTAACAGCGACAAATTATATATATTATATGAATTATAATTTTGTTTAAATATATTTTTGCAGGATTTTAGCAAAACTAAAAGAAAGCTGAATTTTTCTGCCAAGGTAAGAAGACAATATGATCCAAGTAATTTGCAACATGCATTTGCTGCCACCCAGAGTGGGATGTCTGTTTATCGTGCTGCACGCCAGTATGGAGTTCCAGAATCAACTCTCATTTTCTGTTGAATTTGACCACAATGTGTGCATAATTATGCAAACAGAAATACTGAACATTTGTGCATTCATATTTTGGTGAATTCCCTGGATAAAATTTCATAATGGGTACAGATTGGTGCACCTTGGATTACAAAAAAATATCTCAACTCATTTCACATTAAGGTGAGTTAAGCAATTTCATTTTTTCCCCCTATTTCGCCTTGCAATCCGACTTTTAGTGTTTACCGCGATACGACGGAGTTCTCTCTTTTGGTAAATATTAACCGGTTTCGCTCGTCTAATGGCTCTCGCTGAAACACTATCAAAGTTAAAATAATATTTTTTTCACAAATGCGTTGATTAAATGTCATCTTAATCGGATTTAATAATGAAATAGGCCTTAAAAGTTCACCATTTTATTTCCGATCACGGATATGTCAAGTACCGCGATACAACGAGGTCGCAGGCTACAGGAACGGTTTATCTACACAAAAGTCATTGCTCAAGACATTCCTCCGACGCATGATAATGAAAAGTTTATGTCTTGATAACATACAGAATGTAATCAACTCACGTTTCATACTGAAAACTCCGTAAATTCCATTACATTCCAAGTGGCAGTTTCTGGCTCGGGAAAACGAGAAGGCTGTGGCGAAGAAGAGTAGTCCCCCACTGACAGTGAACGTAACCTCAGCAATGTCACAAGCACATTGGGTGCACCTAATTACACACACTCAATAGTTTTGGCTCCGGTCGACGGGGGAACACTGAACAGAAACTGGTACACAAGTACAGATCCCAAATGTGCAGAGATATCCGAAACAATCTTCCGATGACGACAACAACCAAGCGATAACGATGACGTCACATGCTCAAATATGTTTTGCTTGCAAGAATTAAAATCATCCACATTTGCACGGTAACATCATCGTTTTAAGAGTATTTAATTAACTTTCTGTGATGTTATCTAGTTTTCATGATCACTATTGCCTTTATGATGCGAAGAGGTGGCAGAAACTTTTTTGTGGAGGGTCACCATGGGGATGAGTAGTGATTAGGAAGCCAGGTGACGTCACTCATTCATAAACGTTGTGTTGTGTATTATTGCGCAGCTACGATGAGAAAATATGAAATTTGAATGTATTCGACCATAAAATGGTGCGATTTTATGGTGTGTAAGAAACAGATTACTGTACTCGTGTCTGTCAGATACCATTTATCTTACAACTCGTTGTTTCAAAACGTATTTAACTCGCTTTCGCTCGTTAAATACGTTTTGAGACAACTCGTTGTAAGATAAATGGTATCTGACAGACACTCGTTTAGTAATCTCTATGTACTAAACAATGAACACACGGAAACTTGGCAAGTGGCCATACGCTTGGCTGATTGCCGGATGAACAGACACATTATAAAACTACTGATATATACCCCTCTTGAGAAAACAAACTGGAGTGTCATGGGACAAGGGACAAAGAGACACTAGCTTTACATAGCCTATATTTACAGCTGACTGACTGCATGACACACGGATAAACACAACGACTTAGATACACGTACGTAAATAGGAGATCAGACACACATTCATCTGAAACACACAGACACACACACACGCTCCAGCTAACACACAACGTTTCCGCAACGTTGTGGGAAGGTTGTAGGTTGGTAACGTTATGACACAACGTTGTCACAACGTTGTTGCAAATTTACGTTGAGGAAACGTTATGCTTTGGGCTTCTCACAACGTTATAACAACGTTTCTTATAACGAGTTGTCTGTAAATCTTTTCACTTTGAGATTTTTTCTTCACTACTCAGCTACAGCTTCAGAAAACACATGACCAAAACAATATGCAAATTGACGAATAACATTGTAGTGAATTTCTGCTTTGTTCCATATTTACTGTTCACTACTAGGAAAAGTGTTCAACAATTAACGTTAAATAGAACGTTAAAACAACTAAAGTACGTTACCATCAAATAACTTTTGACGTAACAATGACGTATCACTACGTCAGGCCGCAACATTGTGACAACGTAAATGGGAGTCATAGGCGGATCCAGAGTGGGGGTGCAGGGGTGCGCACCCCCCCTTTTGCCCTGAAAGTTTATTAAATGACCATTGAAACTCTCATGAAAATGAAGTGTGCACCCCTCCTTTGCTCAATAGTGTGCACCCCCCCTTTCTGAAAAAGCTGTATCCGCCCCTGGGAGTCCACAGAATAACGTAACAACAACAGCATAACGTTGTGACAACGTTTTGACAACGTGACAACGTTAGCTGAGACAGACGCACAACGACAGACAGACAGACAGACAGACAATACTTGGATTCATCACACAGCCAGGCGATCGTGTTTCTGTATTTGTTCTTCAGCGATGTCTATATGATGGCGGCATGCAGGTAATTGAGTCTGGGCCAGATAATCTGATGCTCAACATCATGGGCATCGATATACGCAAACAACATCATCAACAAACATGTCCACTTGACCCATGTAGTGACTTCTTACCATAGCCTTGGGTCTGAATGGGCTTATAATATTACCCGGATTTCTCTCGGCCGATTTTCTTACAACATTATACAAGCACACACACATGCACGTATGCCCACGCACTTCCACAGTCCTTCATTGTGGAAGAACCTTTCTCACAGAGGATATCACCCAAAATACCAAAAAGCTTATACAACTTAGTATTAACCATTACTACTGATCAATCGACACAAACCAACTGTAGTGTCATGTTAATGAGTGAGTGTATGCGGATTTACGCCGCTTTTAGCAATATTTCAGTAATATCACTGCGGGGGGCACTATAAAATGGCTTCACATATTGTACCATGTGGGGAATCGAACCCGTTTTTTCAGCGTGACTAGAAAAAGCTTTAACTACAAGGATACCCCGCCGCCCCTAGTTTCATGTGACCTGAACATACATCAACCCCAAAATGGCTGAAAATAGCCTACATTTACAACTGAATGAAACCAACTGTTCAAAACATACTGTGTCAACAATACTTCGCCATTATGTGCTTATCTGAAAGACAAAATACCAATACCTCTGATAGAGACACTGAACTCTGAACTGAAACTTGTTTTGTGAAATACCTACCTGACATTCTGAAACGGTGATTCACATCACAGTGTGACCATTGGCAGTCTCAGAAACGTTTGGATGCAAGGATCACACCTTCGTCAATCTGGGTAGGTTAACCCAAGCTATTCTTAGACCTGAAATCACTATCATGTGATAATATCACATTATTAGCCACACAATGTAAAACGAAAGTAGAAACTGAAAGTAGACGTACGGGTAGGTCCTCACACACACACGCACGCACGCACGCACGCACGCACGCATACGAATTTATCAGTTATTCCCAGATCGACAGACACTGAGCTTGAACGTTATACTGTTTATCGACTCTCTATTACGAAATCTCATCAAGTTATGGTATGTAATACTTTTATGAACATTTCCGTAAATCCGGGAATAAAGTCTGCTGTTCCAATGGGAACCCCCAAAAGGTGCTAGAATCTGTACTTTACTGAGAAAGTGTAGTCCCAAATATAACATACGCTGCTGTTCCTATTATTTCCTATATGCTCTTGGCGTGTTTTCTTTCGGAGATTAAATTGTATTCGTTGCATTCTGAACATTAGATAATATCAATAACTGGCGTGATAATTGCATATCCTAAGATTGTATGCCTGACAGGTTATATGTTGTCATGGATGTCGGGGAAATAGGGATAAAACACGGCCATCTAGGCTATGCCATGGAAAGATAACACAGTTATATTTCTCATATACAAAAATAAATGTGTCCCATGAAGATACGGGTTAGAATTGGTCTTCAGCAACCCATGCTTGTTGTAAGAGGCAACAAACGGGATCAGGTGGTCAGGCTCGCTGATTTGTTTGACACATGTAACCGTCTCCTAATGGCGTAGATCGATGCTCATGCTGTTGATCGCCGGATTGTCTGGTCCAGACTCGATTATCTACAGACCACTGCCATAATACTAGTAGCTGGAATATTGCTGAGTGTGGCGTTATACAACAACAAACAACCCAACGTATAAATCTGACCATTTACGGACTGGTTTATCGGAGTTACAGCAGAGGTAGATTTCCGGAATGTAGTGCTCCTCGACTCAAAATTCAATTCGGTCCTAAGAACAATCCGAACGAACCAGTCTCTACTGCGCCCCTAATTTTAATGCCCAGTGGCGTCTAAAGCGACGTGTAAAGGACACTGCAACCTTGCAGGACTGCCACCGTACAAGCTCAGAAACCTGCACCGATAGCTATTTAATAGATGAATTACGACCAGTATTGATAATTTATGACAGTTGAATGGGCCAGCAACTGTTACCTGTATTGATATGACATTGATGGGAGGTCACTTGGAACGCTCCATAACCCAGAGCTGTAAGGGACCGTTCATTATTTATGGCTAGATGGCTGATGTTGATATATATGGAGAAGCATGTACAATGTTGGGGAGACTGTCGTGGCTGTTGTTTATTTACCTTTTTGGCCTTTATTTTTTGGCTTTATTTTTGTCTGTGGGATATTTTGTGATTGGTTGTGGTGGTGGGAGTTGGGGTTTGGGGATTTGTGATGTTTTTGTTTGAGTTTGGATAGTTGTCTGGTTATTTGTCCAGGGAAGCATTTTTGTTTGTTTTATATATATATATTTTTTAATTTATTTTTAATTATTATTATTTTATTTTATTTATTAGTTTGTTGTTTTGTTGTTGTTGTTGTTTGTTTTGTTTGTTTTGTTTTGTTTTTTATGTTTTTGTTGTTGTTGTTGTTTTTTTTTTGGGGGTCGCTTGTTTGTATTTTGTATGTTTGATTTTTGTTCTTCGTCTTTTATTCTTTTATTTTTTTAATATTATTTTGTGAAGAAGGGTATTATTTTTGTTTTCTCGGGTTTTATTTATCTGTTGTTGTTTTGGGGGTCCTTCTGTTAGAGGGCGGTGTTTCAGAGTGGATTAATATGATGGTTCTGGGTCGTTTTCGTACGTTTATGCCTGACAGACGTGCGGCAGATCTGATAATGTTTAAATAATTTTGCGGCATAGTCTGTTCCTGGCCAGCGAGATGGATATACTCAGTTACATTTGATGTGATTCATGTTCTTTGTCTTGAGGCAGCAACAGTCACATTTGCTGCTCACATCTACCCGTTATTCGTTGTTTTACTTCATGCTGTCTTCCGATCCACAGCAGCTAAAAGATCTTTACCACAACGTCAAAGACTCCTGCACCAGAAGTTTTATGAAGCACATATAGCCTTCAGCAGCAACTAAATAATTTTTATTACATCTAGCCTTGATCAAAAACTAAATTATCTTCTTTAAATACATTCAAGGCATTCTTGTCTCTGCAGCTAAATTATCCTTATCACACACGTTCCTGTACCAGCAGCTTAATGTCTTTTTTACACACATTCCTGTACCAGCAGCTAAATGTCTTTATCACACATATTCCTGTACTAGCATCTAAATGTCCTTATCACACACATTCCTGTACCAGCAGCTAAATGTCTTTATCACACATATTCCTGTACTAGCATCAAAATTATCCTTATCACACACATTCCTGTACCAGCAGCTAAATGTCTTTATCACACATATTCCTGTACTAGCAGCTAAATGTCCTTATCACACACATTCCTGTACCAGCAGCTTAATGTCTTTTTTACACACATTCCTGTACCAGCAGCTAAATGTCTTTATCACACATATTCCTGTACCAGCAGCTAAATGTCTTTATCACACATATTCCTGTACTAGCATCTAAATTATCCTTATCACACACATTCCTGTACCAGCAGCTTAATGTCTTTTTTACACACATTCCTGTACCAGCAGCTAAATGTCTTTATCACACATATTCCTGTACCAGCAGCTAAATTATCCTTATCACACACATTCCTGTACTAGCAGCTTAATGTCTTTTTTACACACATTCCTGTACCAGCAGCTAAATGTCTTTATCACACATATTCCTGTACTAGCATCTAAATGTCCTTATCACACACATTCCTGTACCAGCAGCTAAATGTCTTTATCACACATATTCCTGTACTAGCATCTAAATTATCCTTATCACACACATTCCTGTACCAGCAGCTACATGTCTTTATCACACATATTCCTGTACTAGCATCTAAATGTCTTTATCACACACATACCTGTACCAGCAGCTAAATGTCTTTATCACACATTCCTGTACCAGCAGCTTAATGTCTTTATCACACACATACCTGTACCAGCAGCTAAATGTCTTTATCACACACATTCCTGTACTAGCATCTAAATGTCTTTATCACACACATTCCTGTACCAGCAGCTAAATGTCTTTATCACACACATACCTGTACCAGCAGCTAAATGTCTTTATCACACATTCCTGTACCAGCAGCTTAATGTCTTTATCACACACATTCCTGTACCAGCAGCTAAATGTCTTTATCACACACATTCCTGTACCAGCAGCTAAATGTCTTTATCACACACATTCCTGTACCAGCAGCTAAATGTCTTTATCACACACATTCCTCTACCATCAGCTAAATGTCTTTATCACACACATTCCTCTACCAGCAGCTTACTGATCTTCATCACATACATACCTGCACCACAGAAGCGATACTACCTACAGACACATACTCTACCGAGTAGACCACAGAAGCGATACGACCTACCGACACATACTCTACCCAGTAGACCACAGAAGAGATACGACCTACAGACACATACTCTACCCAGTAGACCACGGAGGTGGTACGACCTACAGGCACATGCTCTACCCAGTAGACCACGGAGGTTGTACGACCTACAGACACATACTCTACACAGTAGACCACAGAAGCGACACGACCTACAGACATATACTCTACCCAGTAAACCACAGAAGCGATACGACCTACAGACACATACTCTACTCAGTAGACCACAGAAGCGATACGACCTACAGACACATACTCTACCCAGTAAACCACAGAAGCGATACGACCTACAGACACATACTCTACCCAGTAGACCACGGTGGTGGTACGACCTACAGACACATGCTCTACCCAGTAGACCACGGAGGTGGTACGACCTACAGACACATACTCTATCCAGTAGAACACGGAGGTGATACGACCTACAGACACATACTCTACCCAGTAGACCACGGAGGTTTTACGACCTACAGACACATGCTCTACCCAGTAGACCCCGGAGGTGGTACGACCTACAGACACATGCTCTGTCGACCAGAGCAAGGAGACGGTACGACCTACAGATGGCGTCAGTGAAATATTGAATTAATTCGGAAAATAGCAGGTATTGTACAATTTGTATATCTGATCATGTGACTTTAAGTGTCGAGCAAGCATGTGGCTTCTCTCATGATATAAATCAATGAACGAGTTCTCAAAACGAGAGTTGTTAAGTACATTGTGTGGTAAGTGTATACATGTAATAGCTCAGGTGATAAAAACACTGTTCACTGGATTATGTTACACGACCGCCGACGTGAAGTCGTTTTCAGTTCTTCTGAAACCCGGATGTAATTGTGAATCTAGGTCATCAGTGCTTTGTATGACGATTAAGCTGTGTTCGTGTGATAACAGCAGGTAAGACTGTTTGGTGAGCATTCAGATATTTTCCAGTTCAGTCACGTGGCGAGAACATTTGAATAATTGAAACCGAGAGATGTTAACGTTAATCAATGTGTTTCGTTATGATATTAACATGACTTAATACTGAGACACTGGATGCCTGATGTTCATTTAGACACTGTTTTTTATTTTGCCTCGATGAATTTTTAGACTGTTCGTTCACTAATTGTAAGTCGTTGTGACCTCAAAACATATATGTTGTCTGTATACACTGATCTGCCGAACTTCTCTCTATGAACCTGTGTTACATGAAACTTTCAAAGTTTAACATATGAGAAACATGTGTGGTTACTAAGTACATTAATATGATACTATGATAAAGGAATTGAACTATTACCACAACGTAGACAGAATCAGATATTATAGCAAAGGAAGGTTTCAGGAATAATATAACAAAGGGAAACAGTATGAAAATCTTTTTCAGTAGCACACATTTAAAATACGATTTAATTTATTTTCTGCACTCTTTTTGTATGGATGTACGAGCGAATGTGTTTCAAAATAACAAAAAACTCGGTGACTCCAGTCTCTGTATATATATTGTATACATTTATGCATATATTGTATACTGCTTTCTCCGAGAATAAAAATTACCCCCCCCAAAAAAAAACCCCAATATGATACTATTTCTGTTTCTCACGCTCACTCGCCCCTTTCCCTGCCGATTCAGTTGCAAATAAATTATGAATATATTATTTCGCATTCGAAATATGTCGGGTTATTATTGCTTTTGTAGCTGTTCTTGTTGATAATGCTATAGCCTGTGGGCAACGGCGCTCACGAATGTATATAACAGTTATAATACTATAACATAAGGAAATGTAAAACGCGAAATCATATTTCTGTATATATAAATCATGTACCTTTTCAATCTGCTAAAGCCGTGATGAGATGCATCGCAGTATTTTTGTTACCTTACTGACAAGCATCGCAATGACGATCTATTACGATGCAGCACCATGCAGTACAATGTTGATATAGTAGGGTGCAGCACCATGCAGTATCTTGCTGACATATTACGATGCAGCACCATGCATTTTCATGATGGCATATTACGATGCAGCACCATGCAGTATATTGTTGATATAGTAGGGTGCAGCACCATGCAGTATCTTGCTGACATATTACGATGCAGCACCATGCATTTTCATGATGGCATATTACGATGCAGCACCATGCAGTACAATGTTGATATAGTAGGATGCAGCACCATGCATTATCTTGCTGATATATAACGATGCAACACCATGCTTTTTCATGATGGCATATTACGACGCTACACCATGCAGTATCTTGCTGAGGTATTACGATGCAACACCATGCAGTACAATGTTGATATAGTAGGATGCAGCACCATGCATTATCTTGCTGACATACATGTATTACGATGCATCACCATGCATTTTCATGATGGCATATTACGATGCAGCACCATGCAGTATCTTGCTGACATACAACGATGCAGCACCATGCAGTATCATGATGGCATATTACGATGCAACACCATGCAGTATCTTGATGACATATTACGATACAGCACCATGCAGTACAATGTTGACATATGGCGATGCATAATGAAAGATCAGAGTCGACGAGAGATGGGAAACACATGTGAAAGATTATACCTAAGGTCTGTGTGTATTGAAAAATATTAGCAAAATAAGTAGGATTGAGGAAACATCTTTTGCACCCATGTGATACTTTTTGTTTTGCAGGCGAATTCTTTAAAGCTTACCTGAATTATATCATCAAATATGGAGAAACACCCACCTCCATACCAGCCCTATGAAGGGACGGGATCACCCCCACAAGCATATGCACAACCCCTACAAGGACATGGACCACCACCCCAGGGGTACGAACCACCACCACACCAGGGGTACGGGCCACCATCACCCCAGGGATACGGAACACCACCCCAGGGATACAGACCATTACCCCAGGGATACGGACCACCACCCCAGGGATACAGACCACTACCCCAAGGTTACGGACCACCACCCCAGGGATACGGACCACCACCCCAGGGATACCGGCCACTTCAGCCCTACCCTCCTCCGGTAAAGTGATCGATATTTCTTGTAGTTGTCTCAGTTTCAAAATTCTCAGTTCAAAACATATTTACCCACGAAGATCCGGGTTAGAATAGGTCTTAGAACCCCATGCTTGTCGTCAGAGGCGACTAAGGGGATCGGGTGGTCAGACTCGCTGACTTGGTTGACACATGTCATCGAGACCCAACTGCGCAGGTCGATGGTCATGCTGTGGATCACTGGATTGTCTGGATTGACTCGATTAGTTACAGACCGCCACCGTATAGCTGGAATATTGCTGAAAGCAGCGTTAAACAACAAACAAACAAGTGAAAGCATATTTAGTTCTCTAAGTACAGTACCATATTTTTGTGAATTCCTTTGTCTCTTGTAAGGGCATATCCTTTGAGTTGTAGTGTAACTGGGCAGATGTCTCGTACACTGAACGACTATGTAAAATGTTTTTGGAAAATTGTAGATCTTTTATTGAAAGTGAAATTCATGTGCGCGTTATTCTGTCCTAGAAAATGTGTCAAACAGTATATCAACTCTCGAGCTGTAACATCATTGAAATTTCATCTTTTCAAACTTTTATAATAACAGATGTCTACATGACTATGTATATGAACTCGTCAGCGTCTAAGATAACGGTTACCTCAATCAATTACAATTGCATCTAAGCATTGCCATTCGATCAGTTGTTATTCAATCCCTTAATTACGAGTACCTAGAAGAGTAACATGGGCACCATATCAATGTCCTTTGGTTGGGGGCGTTAGGGATTCGATTCACTGTCCTTCCGCTCTGGGGCTGACTCTCTGTCAGTTAGACTGCATAGAAGGCGACCAATACAAATACAAACGCCTTGAATTTTGGTTTGTTTGCTTGGCTTTGTTTAACGTCGCACTCTGCAATAAATCAGCTATGTTAGTGTGGTAGGATGGGTGCAGCATTCAGGTCCCGTGGAAGTTTTGTGATGAAAGTAAGACATTGTGTTTTTTGTATTCATCAGACATGCTAGTTAAATAAAAAGTTTGATTCCAAGTTGAAATACCGTGCAAATAGGACTTTTGGGCACTGTACAAAATGGTTGTGGAAAGGGTTGCTAAAAGGTCATAAGGTATATAGGAGAGTTGAATATTTAAAGTTTGAGGTTATTAACTTTATCCAAGTGTGTTTCTCTATTTCATGAAATAATTTACTGAAAGAAAACCCCAATATATATATTTTTTTAAATTTAGAAAAATTACAAATAATGAACACTCCCTCTCTCAAAAAGGCAGCTAGCAGACGAATTTAAGCAGATGTAGGTTTTGTGCATTTTGTAAGTATATGATTGCTTCAGTTTATCAAATCAATGTAAATGAAGTTATTAATAAAAGTGAAAGAACAGTTATGTGTGAAACTAAAAAGAGATGTTTATGCTGTTTGGTGAGACTGTCAGTAAGGGAGCAGTCCTTATTTCAAAATGTACGTAGTTGGTCAATATCAGATTATGATTTATCAATGTCTTATTAATATGTTCAAAGTTTTTCTTCTAAAAGCAGAGTTCTTTGAAAATAGATAAGAATATAATGAAATGATGGGGGAGAAAACACTATTTTCTGCTTCACACTCTCAATTAAATCCTTTGAAATAATTTTGAAGTCATCGGATCGGATCATTCTAAAATGGTTATAATCTTTGAAAAAAATATATACAAATAAATGTGGGGAGAAATCTTTTTTTATCAGCAGCATAGGAGAAGGCACAGTGTCCATATTTAGCTTGTTTGACTTTGGGGATAACAAGAAGGTGTTGATTCCCTGATCTCAGAGATCTAGATGGTGCATAAGCCTGAAGAAGATCTGAGGTGAGGTGAGGTGAGGTGAAACTGGGTTTAACGTCGTGCTTGAGAATCTTTCGCTCATATGACGACGTGCATGCGTGTGTATGTGTATGTGCGGCTGCTTGTACTAGCCCAGACTTAAGCTGGTTTTATAGTGCTAGCCCGACTGAGATACCATGCCGCAGTGAAGCATGAATACCCCACTCAGACACATTATACTGACTCCGAGCCGACCAGTCCTTATTGTACCCATTAATGCCGAGCGCCAGACAGGGACCAACAAGTACCATAATTTAAAGTCTTTTGGTATGACGCGGTCGGGGATCGAACCCGCGACCTTCCCCCTCTCCAGGCTGACACTCTAACCACTACACCACGGAGGCGGTCGAAGAAGATCTGAGAGGTAGACAGGAACCATGTTAGTCATGCACTGGTATGTGAGACAGAGGAGTTTGAAGGAGATGCTGTGTTTCACGGGAAGCCAATGGAGGGTCCTTTTGAGCTGGTGTAATGTGCTGCTTCTGGAAATCTGGGAGGTAATGCGAGCAGCTAAATTCTGTATGCGTTGGAGTTGGACAGTGACACAAGATAGAGATCCGGCCAAAAGGCTGTTACAGTAGTTCATACCACAGGGGCGTGTCACGCTAGGAAACAGCGTTAGAAAGACATATAGGTACATAGACCCTACCCTAGTACTATATAAAATGAAAAGGGATGCAACGACGGAACCACCCCCTCCTCAATCAAAGTTAGATTTCACCACGTAAACTATTTTTAAGGCCCCGTCGAAAGCGAGATGATTTCCCTACAAAATGAGCTATAAATGGTCAAAGGCTTGATTTCTGCAGAGGTGGCCTAGCTAGAGCTGACTTGGGTACACTTGGGACATAACCAGATGAAGTTGAAGATTAAATAATCCGCACTAATGTTGGTAAGAGTACGTCGAGACAGTCATATAGAAGGTCAGTTGGAATCGGATCAAGTGAACAAGTTGTTCTTTTGCAGATTTCAGTAGTTTAGTAACTTTAGTGTCAGTGAAACTATCAATATGAGTAAGAGGCGTGCCATCAAACATTTTTGGAGGAAAATCCGTTCATCCACAGCCACAGAAGACGAAATCTTGTCATGAATGTCTTGGATCTTTTTGTAGAAATAATACGAAAATGTCTGTGCTGTTGCTTCATTGTCATCAGATGTCGAAGTGGTGATTCCCAGTGTTTACCCACGATACTGAACAAAAGTTTGAACAGCAACTTTGGACTTGACTCGTTGGCTTCAATCTTAGAACTGAGATGTTGATTTGTCTGATGACCGTTGTTGAGTGATTTCTGGCTGAAATATACATTTGGCGATGAATCTCCAGGAAAGATTTTTTCCATCTGCTTTCCTCTTTTCCTATTTCGCTTGTCGAACTTCAGGTCTGAAGTCCCAAGCAGATGTTTTAGTGACTGGTATGACTCTGTCCTTCACCGGTTTGTCGAGCAGCTCAGATAGAACTGTATTGTATAAGGTCTGAGTTTAGAAAATTGTCTTGAAAGTATCCTTATCCAGGGAGCGCAAGTTCCTACAGCGAGTAATCTTCACATTTGGACTGAATATGGAGAGGTCCAAGCTCACAAAGAGATGGAAATGGTCAGAGAGCTGTAGATCCTATACAGATACACAACTGACACACGCGTCTGAAGCACGGGTAACTATCCAGTCCAGAGTGTGTCCACCTATGTGGCTTGCCTCTGACACGAGTTGTACCCAGTTGTGGACTTCAAGAAGATTTAGCATTCGTTCAGTGTCATGGTTATCCTTGTTGTCAAAATGGAAATTGAAGTCGCCTACGATGATAATTGCTACTTCGTCAATTTATCCAGTCGGTGCTGAGACGGTGCCGAGCAGTAATTGCTGCCAATGGTGGCCATACAAAGCACTGACTTTGACGCAATCTTATGGACTCAAGTAAACAGAAAACACAACAGTAAAGGCTTTGTCTATAGACGTTTGAATTTTCACCGTTAAACCATTGGGATTACATGAAATAATTGCTCTTAAAATAACGCAAGGAATTCTTCTAAAAATGGCGTATGCGTTTCTTTTTTTAAGAGCATATTTCTGGATTGCAGTTTCATGTAAAGACCTCTTCTATAGTTGATAAACAGGATAAGAAGTATATTCCTTTTTCATATTGTACTAGTTCTATATAAAAGATATGCTTTGTGCAGAAATGGTTTTTTTTATTCATCATTAAGACTTTTAGAGCTAAAAATAACTCTTTTATGTAAATTTAAGAGTGAAAGACAAACTAAAAAGATCTGGTGACTTACAGCATATGAGAAATATAGTCCTTAACCAAAAATGCATGGTATGTGATGTTAAAACCATTGTTTTGTTCCGGGTTGTTGCAACTTTTTCAGTTCCCGGTTAAATTTTGGCGGCCATCTTGGATTTTGAGCTAAAAATAGCTTTCGCATTAATATTCAGATTGGAACCAAACATTTTAAAACTCCTTTAACATATAAACACAAAAGAATATATGATTTGCTTTCATCAAAAAACTTTCACGGAATCCCATAAGCTACTTGACTATTTGGCGACGGTCTGTAAATAAGCGAGCCTGCTCTATAGGGTGCGTTTTCACGGTGCGACCATTAGTGACAGCTTGTAGCATACGAACTGTGATAGCAACAAGAAAAGCCCTTAAAAAGGCAACGCTGGAGGCACCTGGGTAAATTAAGAAATTTAGTGAGGAGGACGCGAGATGGTTTTTGGGGTGAGGCTGGTTTCAAGAGCATCAATATGACAATACCTCCGTCTATTTCAGATTTGCTTCTATTTGAGATCGGAACTCGCATCGCAAATTTGGTACTCTCATCTACAGCATATGACCTGTCTTCCACATGCACTAGGCTGTTGTGTTTGGGCGTTTGAATCAAACATGGTGCTGGTGTGATTCAAAACCCTTGTTTTTCGCTGCTTTTGACAATGTTTCATTTCACTCAAACTCAATGAATATTGAATCAGTTGCTTCACTGCATGTTCCAACATGTTTAAAGTGCCCATTAAGCACACAAAAAGTTGTTTTTACTTTAAAGTATAAATGACCTCACCACGTTTAAGTTTATACATGACTATCAAATTTTAGGGCGTTCCCATACGTTTTGTTTGCAGAATATTTGATTGGTCATCAAAATAACATTAGTACCCTGGTTTTTTTAAACTGACAAATGTCATAGAATATATTACAAAATTAATCAAAAGCTCTTTTCTTATTATATTATTTTTCAGCATTTCTTTCGCCGGCTCGCTCTCCCTCGGTTTACTATTGGAGATGAGAAACATAAAAAAATATTATGAATGACCTGGACTAGGCCATGATTTATTTCAGCCATCTGATTCATTGTTTTGGAAAACAGATCTTGTCAATGGCGGCTCCCAAAAAGTTTGAACGCTTGTTTCGAATTTTCGTGTTCATTGGTTTAGGTGTCAAACTCATGAACGTGATGCATCTTGGTCTCAGTGGAAGATTTGATTTTGGTGACCTCAGTTCCAAAGCGAAACAAGAGCGGCGAATAGGTCGAGGGTATTAGTCGGGATAGAGTTGAAATATAATGTCCTGGGTGGGCGAGGATGGATTTTTCATTTTGTGTTGATTTTTTCAGATGATGCAGCAGCAAAGAAGTACCAACGTCGTTGTTGTCGGCGGTGGTGCTGCGCAACAGACTGTTGTAGTTCAGCAGAGAGAGTAAGTGCTTAGAGTTAATGACACATTAACCCCCAGTCTTTCGCTCCCATAATAGCGAGTGAGTGAGGGAGTGAATGAGTTTGATGAGTTAGTGAGTGAGTTTGGTTTAACGTTGATTTGGGCAATGTTTCGGTTATATCACGAAACGTTTGATAAATCTTTCATCAACAAATTTCTTCAAGGATATTTTGCTAGGGCCCTTAATTAATTAAAAACATACAGTGTGCTTATTGTGAAATCGTCAGTATATTTCTACATATATATAGAATTTTTAAATATGCTCTGTTTTCGTCTTACCACAGGACATATCCTACCTCGAGCCTTAATCAGTGTTGTTTATGACATGGGGTATTCTCTCTCCCTTAATTAATTTTGTTGTCGCTTTTCCTGAACTTAAAAACAAAATATTCTTTTATAATAGTCAGACAGCATCACACCAGTCCATAAAGTTGACACAGATATCAGTGTGCTGCTTTGACCATATCTCAAAGTATATAGCCTAACTGAATGAAAGTGTGCAATCCACTAACGGATTTAAATGTTCTGCCGCATGTACTACACAGCTTCGACATATTTTTGGGACCGTCAAGCTCATGGAAATATTCAACCAAGGCCTCCACAATCATTGCACTGCTACAACAGAAAAAAGGACACACTCACCATTGGAAGAACAATTTTCAATGATCTATCTTTTATACTTTCTCAAGATACGTTAAATTTGACAAGACTAGATTCACTGTCACATATCAACTGAAGCAACTCTTGTAATGACTTAAAAACAATTCAAAAGTTCTAAAAAATAGCATCTGTTTCTTTGTTTTAATTGTCATTTATCAATCCAAAGAAATGTCCGAGAAAAATACTTGTACAAATTTCATTAACAGAACATCAACAAGTCTATTGACACAAATTATTCTTCCTACTAAATTTCACAACCGGTTCCAATATTCACAGTCCCAATTTAGGGGGATTCAGGAAATATAAATCTACTTTTATTGAATGACAACACAATCAAGTGCTATGACCAAACCGTATACCGTCAAATGACCAACCACTACTTAACAATGAGACGTGACCAATCCGTACACTCAACGGCGAGGCGTGCCTCACAAGACGGACAATTTCAACAATTGAGAGCAAATCTGGTAACTCTGAATATGGCGAACTGATTGCTAAGATATCAAAGAGTATTTCTCAAGCTATAATACACGTTCCTAATAAGGATATTCCTATTTTTTCGATGAAATTCGTGACAATCGTGGCGTGATTTGATGACTCTTTGAAAACCGTGTGAACTTTAGGAAACTGAGGACTTAATAGAGCAATTGTCATTCAAACACATATATTTCAACACTTGACCTGCTTAGTTGTCGACGTCTGAAATTATAAAAATGTTAAAAATGAATATTTATTACGGTCTTTTGCCCATTCAAAGGCTCGAATCGCGACATGGCCGCCATGATGGATTTTGACCAATCCGGAATATTGGTGACCAACCCCAAACTGCCGGAGCTCAATGGACGGTGTGCTGTCGATGCTTGTAATGTACGAAAATACGACAAACCAATCAGAACGCGCGTAAATGACTGCGGTGCTTTGGTAAAAATAATCCCTAGTACTTAAATCGTTTATGGCATTATGGCATTGTTTAAAAAATCATGAAAAATATATATCGTAACATTGAAAGTACAAAGAACTTAGCTAACAGGATGTTGTTGCCTATTATACAGTTTTTGGTAAGAATCATGCCATTGACGGTGAGAGATTAAAATACACGCTCGTGCGCTTGTTGACATAACGGCTCTCATGCTTTTGCGCGTGCAAAGCAAGGTGTCAGCTGCCAGTCGCATCCCGTCTTATTTCAACAGTAAATACCAAATATCAAAATTATATCTAAAGTATATCTTCGGTCGGTTCATAAGTTGGATCCAAACCTTCTCGGTTTTGTTTGAAAAGGTAAGCCCTTGGCCTTGGGGAATCAGGTCTTGCTTCTCGGCCCTCTCCATTTCCCTCTGCCGCGGGCTTACTTTTTCAAACAAAACCTCGGAGTCGGTTTTGATCCTTTACAACAAAATGTTTTTCTTAATGGGCCCAACAAGGTTCCACCCTACGCGTTTACTGGCATGCTTTATATATATAGTGAGTGAGTTTGGTGTTTTAGCAAAATTCTAAGAATATTACGTCAGGGACAAACCCAGAATTTCCGGTGTAACACACTAGCGGTAATATACTTTCGCTTGTTGAAAAAGTGTCTGAAGTCATTTTCTGAATGTGCAATACATATCCACCCACACACAGCTGTATGGCTTTCTTCTAAAGTGAGTGAGTGAATTATAGTTTACGCCGCTTTTAGCAATATTCCAGCAATATCACATCGGTGAACACCAGAAATGGGCTTCACGCATTGTACCCATGAGGGGAATCGAACCCGGCCTTCGACGTGATGAGCTTTAACCACTAGGCCACCCCACCGCCCCCTTTCTTCCAAATGCTTATCCTACACATTTGAAGGTCTCCCTGGGATGTATTAGCAGACAGTGTGTTGCTTTGTTATAGGATTATGATTTGTCGATCATGCCAATTTTAAACTTTAATGTAACCGTACAACATTGGTGCTCAGGGATGCTTATGTTGTTGTTTTCTTCCAGGACCGTCAATCACTGCCTTCACTGCTGTATCTCCATATTCTTCCCACCGTGGATTTTTGTGTGGATATGTCTGGTAAGCGAGTTTAACTCTCTCTCTCTCTCTGACTGTGCCTTCATACACGTGTCATTGTGGGTACAGGCCATTGTACCAAACCGTCACTGTGCCTTCATACACGTGTCATTGTGGGTACAGGTCATTGTGCCAAACCGCCAATGTGCCTTCATACACGTGTCATTGTGGCAAACCGCCACTGTGCCTTCATACACGTGTCATTGTGGGTACAGGCCATTGCGCCAAACCGCCACTGTGCCTTCATACACGTGTCATTGTGGGTACAGGCCATTGTGCCAAACCGCCAATGTGCCTTCATACACGTGTCATTGTGGGTACAGGCCATTGTGCCAAACCGCCACTGTGCCTTCATACACGTGTCATTGTGGGTACAGGTCATTGTGCCAAACCGCCACCATACACGTGTCATTTTGGGTACAGGTCATTGTGCCAAAACCGCCACTGTGCCTTCATACACGTGTCATTGTGGCAAACCGCCACTGTGCCTTCATACACGTGTCATTGTGGGTACAGGCCATCATACACGTGTCATTGTGGCAAACCGCCAATGTGCCTTCATACACGTGTCATTGTGGGTACAGGCCATTGTGCCAAACCGCCAATGTGCCTTCATACACGTGTCATTGTGGGTACAGGCCATTGTGCCAAACCGCCACTGTGCCTTCATACACGTGTCATTGTGGGTACAGGTCATTGTGCCAAACCGCCACTGTGCCTTCATACACGTGTCATTGTGGGTACAGGCCATTGTGCCAAACCGCCACTGTGCCTTCATACACGTGTCATTGTGGGTACAGGTCATTGTGCCAAACCGCCAATGTGCCTTCATACACGTGTCATTGTGGCAAACCGCCACTGTGCCTTCATATACGTGTCATTGTGGGTACAGGCTATTGTGCCAAAAGGGTGACATTATCAGTTGTATGCTTCTCTCGAGGGTAATATGGTCTGATGTACGCTTCTCTTGTAGCACTGTCACCCGTTAACTTGTTAAAGCGTCATTGACCAATGAAATTAAAGTATTTACATGAAGGTAAGATAATACACCCTTTACATTAACGACCTACCTTTTTTAGATGTGTGTTCAATGACATGTGCTGTCAGGATCTTCTGTATTCAGTGGACATGATATTCGAGTAACATTTTATTTTATTTTCTCTTTTCAGTGTATATGTTACGACTGCTAAACAACGCGAATCAACACTGCAGCCACTGGCTGTGATGGGCTAGACGTTTTGCATGATGCCTGAACGGAATATCTGCGATTACATTATAACACCCCAATGTGACGTCTAACTACAAACTGTCACTTTAAGACCGACCTGAAATCACATCTGTTTACATTTTGTCTTTAAAACTCCACTATATGTGCAAATTGTATGTACTGACGTATTGACACAGGTTCGCTTTGTACGTTTCATTGCTTAATGTTGAGTCGCTGCTTGACAGAAAATACTTCTTTTGTTTTTGGTTTCTGTTCGAGAACATTATTTAGTATGGTGTATTTGGATTATAGTCCGTACTTTCCATCTTGATTTGGCTTTATTGAATGGATCACCCAACATCGTGCCATGCGTAAACATTTTTGAAACAGATGAGACTAAAACGAAATTATTTTTATGCATATTGATTTTAAACATAAGTATATGTGACACCAAGGCTTGCAACTCCCGATGATCTCTGCCCCGAACCATTTCACAAAGAGACCGTAGAGCTACCTTCAGAATACACCATCACAAACTTTAAAAATACGTCATAATACCCTTTTACGTCATTTTACGTGATTTTGTCCCAAAGCACGTTCTGGAAACAATGCCCTAGCAACGCGGTTGTCTAGCTCAGCGAGTGCGTATAAGCTCCGCTCACTGATGTTTCATCTCTACTAGCTATGTCATTGCATAAGCTCAACGATGTTCAGAGTTTCCAGTAGTTGTTTACCGGCGGATGCGCAATGTTTCGCAAGCACCAGTTTAATTAAAAAAAAATTTTTTTTTCACTAATGCGCTCATATTTATTTGTATTATTAAGAGGTGCTGAGATGTAATATTTTGTGTATTTTTTATTTTTTAAAATTTAGTAAGAATGGTTTACACCGGTTAGGTAACATTCTGTCATATTCTATTATTCGCAGTTTTGGTCAATTAAATTATTTTAATACTTTTTTTCACACAAAAACGGGAGACCAAAAACGTCGAAAGTACACGATGAAATGGTTTAATGTAGACATTTTGGGCTAATGGAAATTGGTCTGGCACTAGCACTCAAGCCACATGCAACATTTGTTCAGTAATTATTTCCCTCATTCCACAGTACGATCCACATTATCCTTACAGTGTTCCCTACAACACTTTTCTTTCACAAAATCACCCGATGATTTTTATAAAAGCACGTCACTCATGCATGCACAATGAAATCGACGTCTGACGCCTGACGTCATTGAGACCGTTTCCAGTTCGCGCCATATCGGCTCATTCCATACTACACGGTATCTTGTAGATTACGGAATGGGACGAGTGTGCCAAATGACATCGGAGCCATTCGGCAATTGTCCGAAGATTAAAATCACGGGACACCAAGTCTACCCGTAACCTTCGTAATTGTGCGTGACCTATTCGACTCTTTCCGTTCATTTCCGCGACGCCACAGGAATGGCGATAAATTTGCACACACTGTAGTGTGGAAGTAGCTCAGTCGGTTAGCTGTCGGGCTAACAATCCGAAGGTCGTGGTTCGCGTCCAACGGATCCTCACAAACTGGTTGCTTGTCTTAGTGACACGTGACCTACGACAGAGAACGTCCTCGCGAGAAGTTGTGGTGCTGTATTCTAAGGTGCTCCGCGCTGTGTTTTTTTCATAACATAACCGAGCCCCTGAACTTTTCAAAGCCGTATTTGTTCAATTGTCTAGGTCACCGAAAATCACAAATCCCTTCTGTATCCCGTTGTCGTGCTCGGATTGTAGCAATCGTAAGTTAGAGACCCGGACTAGCGAGATTATGAGCCTTTAAAGAGGAATGTTCCTGTAATCGTAGATTTCACTTAAGCGGTCGGCTCGTCATTTGGCATTGTCCCCAACCCTACGAAGATATACCGTTACATAACTGAGATAGTGTTTATCTGCATAAATAACTTTCATTCAGGCCAAAAAAAGACTTGGTCGCGGTTGTTATCTGAAAAACTCTGTTCACCCAGCAGAAAATGGGTACCCGGTGGGATCAGTCATGTGTCTATTAACCTTCTAGCGCCTTACGGTTAGCTTGGGTTATCCGGGGTAATAATAAATAATCATATTGTGTGTTAGCGCTTTGAGCATGTGCCTTGTACATGGAAAAGGTGCATTATAATATCACATTTATATCATAAAAATCATGATTAGCGTCAATCATGTTTTAACAGTTGGTACCGTTATGTTTTTTGATGGCAAGATATTATTCAAATGCCTTCCATTGTTAGAGCATAGCTCTCGACTTTCATTATCAGACAGGTGTTTCTCATACAGGTGTTATCATATAGGTGTATTCATACAGGTGTTTCTGATAAAGCTGTTTCTCATACAGGTGTTTCTCATACAGGTGTTTATCATACAGTTGTTTATCATACGGGTGCTTTTCATACAGGTGTTTCTCATACAGTTGTTTCTCATACAGCTGTTTCTCATACAGGTGTTTATCATACAGGTGCTTTTCATACAGGTGTTTCTCATAAAGCTGTTTCTCATACAGGTGTTTCTCATACAAGTGTTTATCATACAGGTGTTTATCATACAGGTGTTTCTCATACAGCTGTTTCTCATACAGGTGTTTCTCATACAAGTGTTTATCATACAGGTGTTTATCATACAGGTGTTTCCCATACAGCTGTTTATCATACAGGTGTTTATCATACAGGTGTTTCTCATACAGGTGTTTCTCACACAGGTGTTTCCAAAATTGTTATCGTACAGGTGTGTGAATATTTGTTATCGTAATGTCATCATCCTGGCAGCCAAAGATGTGTCGGTCGGTAAAATACAAATACATTAGTTGCAATATTTTTAATATTCTATAAGTATATGTTTATATGAAATAAACAAGTTCTTTTATTCTCTTGACATACAGTTGTCACTGGTTGTTGTGTTGTTTTCAATCAACGAGTTACTTACGGACGCAAATTCACATGGAAATCGAAGAACCTTTTCCGTCGTACATAATCAATAATAGCAACATCAAAATTTGACATGGGTTATCATTGAAAATTCTGATTTACAAAGATTTCGTTCTTGAACACAGCAATATTCTATCCGGGTAATTCAGTTAAAAAAGCAACATATGTTATATTTGGGATTACACTTTCTTAGTAAAGTACACATTCTAGTACTTTTTTGAGTTGAGCCCCATACGGGATTCGAACTCACACCCTCAGGGTCAGGCATCTTATCGCCAGCACACAAAGTCAGCCGCCTAACCCGCTCAGCTGCCGCGACTTGTGTAATCATAGCTTTCGGCCGTGGGAGCCGTGACAATTAACACCTATCAGAGGAGTACACAAAAACCAGCAGTCCAGACTACCAGTTGTCCGACTTCCATTTGTGGAAGTCGCGGTAGCTGAGCTGACTCCAGTTTCTAAGGTTCCAGTTCAGGACTCTACGACACCACCGCAAGCGACTGCGCCGATGGAAGTATCTCAAAACTAGGGCTGTACATTGGCAAAAAATTTGGATTGCAATATATTGTGATTCTGGTAGCCATATACCGCTTCGTATTGCGATGTATTGGAGCCTAGGTGTTTGACAGTGGTGACATCGATTGTACATGTAGAGCCTATTTTCTACATGCTAAAGCCATAAAAATAAACTTAATGGTTGTGATAACAGAAATTTCGAATTTCGAATTGATTTTGAAGGATTGTATTTTCTTCTTTATGAAATGTATGTAAAGTATGCTGTTTTGTCAATCAATTACAATGGAAAACGTCAGCGTGAATGAAAGTTTGTATGGATTTGAAATTAAACCATAAAGATAACAAGAACTAAAACCATTGCAATACGTATCGTTTTAAAGGCGTATTGCGATATACCGTTAATACCGTGCAGTCCTCCTCAAAACAGGGGCGACAACTGGCCTTCTTGGTCGAATTCTCACTTCACAAAATCGATTCCTGACAGCTTGGTTGGAAATTCTTCTCAAACCATGGATGCGTTGTGCAGTCTCCACGGCTGTGGCAAGACATTGACGCAAATGAGCAACCCGGATGTAGCGGTTGGTGGCTCGGGTGTTAACTCTTGGACGGCAGCATCTTGGGCGGAACTGGTCTGCAGGAAATGATAACAAAGGCGAGAAATGGTGCTCTGATGAACGTTGAAATGTCGGGCAACTACAGACTGCGACTTCCCAGCTTTACTCAATTATAGAAGTGTAACAGCGGTACTCATGTCATCTCAAGATACATAGAGGATACTAAACGAGGTCTCATTACATACGAATTATACGAAACGAGTGTCCTTCCTATGGTATTTGGCCGAGCGAAAGCGAGGTCAGATACCATAGGAAGGTCACGAGTTTCGTATAATTCGTATGTTATGAGACCGAGTGTGGAATTATATTTATTACCCACATCTCACCTGCATAAAATTGACAATATATTTATGTTTTTCGACGGATATAAGGTCTCAGTTCGACTCACAATTAAACAGCGATACGGCAACTAGAAACGGTCGCAATGTTTACATTCCCACAATGCATATAAGTTGTAGAATGAATGAATTCACGTGTTTGTTATGAATGAACAAGTAGTTCCGTCACAACGTGACCTAACTGTGTGGTCATCGGTTTTCCAATCAAATCGTTAGAATCTCAGGTCAAGTCGTTACGACACAGGTCAACGCGATACGACACTCGTGTGACGTACGAGATTAATATGCAACTACCCATACGTTGACCACGTGGGTAATAAAAGGGAGTACTAGTAGTGGTTCGAGGGATCTATTCAACAAATGGAGTTGTAAAAGGAGGTCCAGATCTGCCCTACAACCTATATAATTCAATCGTAAACACTGATAACATAGGCAGTACATAGACACAAAAGTAGTATAAGTAATATTGTATTCTTAAGGTTTACAGTTTATTTCTATATATACTTTAACAAATCCCTTTAGACACTTTATATAGAGATCATGCATATGCAATTAAACTTTAATATATTACCTCGTCTCAGGGACGCAGACTGTAATGCGTCCCACATGTACAGTGATATAAGCCCTGCACAAATATATACATTCTCAAAATAATATACATACATACATGATACATAGAATA